TGCCGCACCAGCAAATGGGTGGATGGGCTGCCATGGAAAGGCACTAGGCAGGACCAATCCCAGAGCAGAAATGAACAGGTATGGAACATCCTGAAAGAACAGGGTAAAAACCACTATTCTCCAGAGTGCCTGATTCTGGGGTGGGAGTTCTAGGGAGCAGCCCACTGCCCCTCCTAGACCCCAGTCTCCACAGGACTACTCCTCTCTGGAGTGTGCTGGTATGGCAGCTGTTTCCCTCTCCGGTAGTCTCTGAATGTGGGATTCAGGTTGTCAAGCCCATTTTGGTCTGTGATGGACAGTTTGAGGAGGATGTGCAGACAGGGTGTTGACTCATGTCTAGGAAACCCAGTACTTGGTTCTTAAGAGGGGATTCGGTGACCATCTTTACTTTGCACATCCAGAGGGAGGTTCTCATGTCCTACTCAGATATGGGGTGGATATATCCATGCACTGGACTCACCCTTTCTACATAGCTGATTGACTTCTTCCCACTGCCAACTGTTCAGACTGTCCTTGGCTTCAGGGTCTTCTGAACATCAGGTTAAGAGAGCAAACTTGGAGTCATAGGCACGTGAGTTCTCCACTCGGTAACTGGCTTAGGTCACTGGCTGCTGTGCAGAGTACCACTGACCATACCCCTTATATACAGTGCTCTTTCTCATAGTTCTGGGAACTCAGAAGTCCAAGGTTAGCATGCTGGGCAATCTGGTGTTCAGTGAAGGCTCATTTTCTGGTTTTTAAGTGGTTGTCTTTTCATAATAACATCAGGTGACTAGAGACTGGGGCCTACTCTGGGGCCACTTGTGTAGGGCACTAATCCCATTCATGAGGTGTTATGGGGTTTTTGTTGTTGTTGTTGTTTTGTTTTTCTTTGTTTGCTTTTAGAGTAAAAACCTGTGCTCTGGCAGCCCCAACAAGCTAGGCTCTGTCACCTCACTGATTATGCCAATTAAAGAAGAATTGAGGTTGGGAGTGGGGCAAAACATATTTATTCATTATGGCCACATTGGGAACAGGAACAAAAGAAGGGATTCAGTGATACCCCCCCCCCAATCCATCTCCAGGAGTACTAAAGGGCTAATTTTAAATAGAAAACAGGACGGGGGGAGGGGATTATAACTAATAGTCCCAGTCAAAGTGTGCTTCTGCCATTAGCCAATCATCTTTGTCTCAGCAACATCCTGCAAGGTGGGTGGATAGGTTGTCGGAAGCGGATGAAGTCCCTTCCTGGGAGACAGGTTCTGGCTGGCACCAGAGCTTCAGCTTATCCCTTCCCTTAGAAAGGAATTCAAGCAGAAAATCAGAATTCTTTGTGGTCCACTATCTCATAGATTGGATACCTCTAAGGGAGGGGCACAAGTGTTTCTCTTTAGAATACTTCTCTGTTAACCCAGAGAGTTATTTTGATGGTAGTGGATGTTTGTTTTTGGAGACAGGGTTTCTCTGTGTAGCCCTGGCTGTCCTGGAACTTTCTATGCAGACCAGGCTGGCCTCAAACTCCCAGAGATCCACCAGCCTCTGCCTCCTGAGTGCTGGCTGGGGTTAACTACCAGGGTAGTTCCAAAGGGCCTTCAGGTGCTAATCACCTCTAAGACCTTGCCTCCTAATAACCTGCTCACATTGGTGATTAGATCTCAACATATGGATGGCTATGCGTGTGTGGGCAGAAGGACCCATACATTTGCTTTATAGCAGGAATTATGAGTCCTTTCTTAGCCACTCTGTACCTCAGCTTCATCACCTGTAAAGAATAGTAGCACGATGCTTCCACCAGGGTTATTGTGCAGACAGAGTGAGGCTGTAAACTAAGAGCTTACCTCAGGCTCCACCCACAGAAGCATTCAATAATTGGCAGGTGTGATTACTACTGTTGTTAGAAGAGCACAGGCATCCAGAGATAGCAAACGTACAGCAAGCAAGGGAGCTTGTTAGCAAGCTCCTGGTTCCTAGGAAGCTTTTCAAGTCCTGAGCAGAAAGGTGCAGGGAAGGATAATGTGTTTGTATTTCTAAACCACAAGTTGATCTGTATCTTTCCTCTTTGGCCCTAACCTGGGCTCTCAGCCCTGGCAGTGCTAGTCAGATGTTACAACAGGCCCGACAGCCACTGGCTGAGAGAGAATTGGGAAGTGCTCACCCCACCCTCTGTGTCACACACAGCAAAGAGCCTTGAAGACTGGGCTGGCTGGCTGGCCAGTACTCCAGGAGCCTTTTCTCAAGGTGCTATCTGCACTTCCTCCAAGGCTCCTGCCTGATGTATGGATGGCAGCACATGAACTCCTCAGCAACAGACCTATGTCAAAGAGCAGCTCTCCTCAGGGGAGCAGATGCCTGCTGTCCCGTGTCCTTGGCACCACAGTGCGGGAAACAGGCCTAGAGGGAGGTGTGTGCACATTGGAGGGGACAGTGTCCTTCAGACTGTTGCTAGGGCTTCCCACACTCTTACCTTGATCTCTCCTCTGAGAGAGTTGGGCGTGGATGAAAGGAACACAGAGAAGAGGGAGAGACACAAACAGGAATCAACCACTCAATCTACCCTGTATATTCCAGTCATCCCAACTGACAGGGCATCACCCAACCTAGTGAGCCGAACTTGTCTAGAAGCAGCAGGAAACAAGAAACATAGCTTGATGTGTGTGGATCGTGGGCCTGAGAGGCCCCTGGTGGGAACTTTTCTCTAGCAAATCTTTTGATACCGGGTTTGGTTAGGTTCATCAACAGAGGAGTCTTGACCTCCTTGGTTGGTCTTGTTTGGAAGCTCCTGCCTTTCTTGAGGGTCCAGGCCTCAGCACCTCCCAAGGAAGCTCCCAAGGAGGCCTACTGTTTTCTAAACTTATTCCCTGTAAGGAAAGGATGAGACTTGGTTATTAGTTACTCTGGGACGTGTCAACCTTGGTTCAACCCAAATCAGGTAGTACCAGTTAATTTCTGATATTATTCTAACATTCCTATTTTATTGTAGTTCAACAATTCAAATTAATGCTTAGAGAGCCATGGTTTTGACATATAAAGGTATCTTATTAGAAGATGATAATTCATATGTACACATGGATCAGTAAAAAGTAATTTAGGGTGTTGATTCTAGATTCAATGCTACATTTCATTCCAGCATTGGATTGCAGCTCATTTCAAATCCACAGCAACCAATCTCCTCCCTTCCTCCACACAACACAAGCTCCTTCTTATAGCCAACATCAGGCAAGTACCTAGGTCCAGGGGTTACTGAACTATGGGTGCCACTTCAAGGGACCCAGTCAGCTTCCTGGCTAGCCACAGGAGGTCAGGGCTTTGCTTATAATGTCCAGAGGAGAGAGAATCCTCTTAGGAAGACAGAAAGGAGACAGAGTAAACAGCCACCAGACATGGAATATCCATATGTGTAGGGCCTGGAGAGCCTGTGATCAGCTGCCAAAGCTTCTATCTCACCCTTCCATGGCACACAAGGCTGGCACCATGCCTTCTCCGGGACAATGGGGGCATGGAGGTCTGAGGTGCAACCACACAAGGCTGACAGCTTTGTGGGGCTGGCGAGCACACATGGATCACCCTTACACATGTTGGTGGGAGGCCTGGAGTAAACTCTGAGACAAACTGAGCCCACAATGCAGATGACTTATCCCGAAACAGCACACATTCGGGCGGCTAAAGAAGCATAATGTCAATTAAAACCCAAAGTTTGAGACACCCAGTAATGGAGACAAAAGAAACAGTCCTGTACTGATCCATCCCCTATCTGTGACACCAGCAGTCACCTAACCCCCATATGAAGCAGCCATTTGGGTCCCAAACGCCATGTATTTCTAAGCTAGAATTCTCTCGGCACTCAGTGAGTAAAGTTCTGTCCGAGGCCCAAGTGGAGGACAGAAAAGGTCTTTTCCTTGTTTGGGGAGGAGATAGACATGTGGCCACTACCCCTCCCCCCAAAAAAACCAGGTAGAGGGTTCCTGATGGGACGTCATCGTCCTGTTTCTGTGTGCCATGGTTGCTGGGAATGTTCTCTGCCCCCAAAGTCCCTTTCCTGTAAGTAAAGCCACAGAAAGTTCTCAGGACTAGGCCGGGGTGACTGGGAAATCAGAATCCCTACATATCTTGTACTCCTGCCTGAACTAGGAGACCACCCCGGGACAGTCGCAGGGTGGGGAAACTTGTCCAGAGTTGGCAAACAAACCAAGGTGCCCAGTGTCAGGACTCCTGATCAGGCTCTGAGAGATGTGCTTGTGGGCCCGGGGCATCTTGGAGCAAATTAACTAGTTGATTGCACAACAGCGGCTTAGTAGATAGTCCAGGTCCTGACTTTGGTGCCGCGGGGAGGTCGAGGCAGGCAGGCAGTGGCTGGTGGGGCTGGGACCCAGCTACTGAAGGGAAAGCATGGGCACGCAGTCGCCCCTTAGGCGGAGCCCGGATCCCCTGTGCCCTTAGTGATCTCCCGGGAGCTCCCGCGCTCGCGGCGTCCTACCTGAAGCCACACCCTGCAGTCCAACTCCGCGCCAGGTGAAGCGGGCGCTGCTCCGACGTGCCGCGGCCCCTCCTTGCCGTGCCCGCGCCGAGGTCCCTCCCGCGGAGGGCGGGCCCGGCTCCCGCGGCCTCTCGGGGTTCTCTGCGGCTTCCCGCTTGGCAGGTGGGTGCCCCGGACGCCGCGGCGGCCGGGGATCCCTAGGGGAGAGACTGGCCGTGCCCGTGTCCCCGGTTCTCAGACCCCGAAGTTTGGGACTGGCCGGCCGCGGGACCTCGGGGCCCTTGGGTGCTTGCACGCGGGCTCCGCGACCCACCTCAGCGTGAGCGCCGCGTGGGACCGAGCATGCGGGGACACTGGCGACCTCGGGAGCGGCGCTGCGCCTCCCCTCCCCCACCCTCTCCAGCCCCACGGTCCGCGGCTCAGCAGACACCCGAGTTCGCTCTGTCGCTAGGCGGGAGGGGTGCGGTTCCCAACGTCCTGGACTCCAGCCAGTCGCAGAATCCGCGGGGACACTTAATTACATTGATCACAGTGTGCTTCTCCCTAGGCCGGCAGAGGACTGGCCCTGGAAGGTCCTAGGATCTTCCCTTCCCTTGGTGCTCTACAGAGCTGACTGAAGACTAGTGAAAGGAGAGGAGAGAAGGCCACAGGAGGTGAGTGAGGGGACACCTGCTCCAGACCTTCCTGGGAGGTAGGTTGGGAGGGACAGTGAAAGGGCAGGGGCCCTCCTGGCGCTGGATCCTCCAGGTACTGTTAGACTGTGGCGGTGGCCTGTGGAGGTGCTATTACTCAATAAAAGTCATTTGCAACCTCTTCTAGCACATGGTAGGCCAGCAGGGCTTCAAATGGACCGCCCAGCCTCTGGCCCAGCCTCTGATGTCATTAGGTTTGATAACTGCAACCCACAGCCCAGGTTCACGGAATGCATGCTTAGGGGAGAGGCCCCAGACACGGAGGGTGGTACCAAACTCAAGTTTGTGCTGATCGGTGCAGGAAGCCCTGATAATACACTACAGCTCTTCCCACTCAGAGAATGGGGTCTCCTGCTGGGATCACCAGGGACTAAGACACACAGTTCCTGGTATTCAAGCTGTATCCTCTGCATTTTGCTATATTCTAGTGCCTCCTCTCTAAAAATGTTAATGTCTGTAAGTGGGGCTCCGTGTGAAGTGGTGGAGATAACGCTGCCCTCATAGGATAGTTGAAATGTGAAACTGGAATGGTTTTGGTCCAACAGGCCAGGGGCCAGCTCACCAGTCTCCTGCTAGGAAAGTTTAAGCAAGCTACCTTGAGCCAAGGGCTTTGGAGAACAGAGTGGTCCACTTGGCAAGATTATCTTTTGAGGGCATTAGAGCCAAGTGATAGGCATGAAGCCAAGGCAGAGGGGCTAAGGAGGATAATAGGAGACCCTAACTGGCCATCCCTAGCATGGGGTGGAGGGACTGTTTCTGGAAGCAGACCCAGCTTCACAGACAGGAGCAGGAAGGGCATCTGTACATGTGACATGCATCCTCACATGTTCACATCTTGACCTGAGATACTGTTTCCTTGGCTGCTTCTGGGACACCAGGAACCTTTGGCTTGTGACTTCTGAGTCCATCAAGCTAGCTGTATGATAGGACAGGCTGTTTGCTGTCTCTGGGGATGCCTCAGGGGGGGAGGAGCTTAGAATCAGAGAGACTTTATGATTTCTCAATCCAGGAGAGAAGATTTTCTTCAAACCTCAGTTTCTCCACCTATAAAATGAGGCCCAGAATAACTGTACCAAACATTCTATATATGCAAGAATCAAAAGCACCTAGGACACGGCAGACATTTTACATGTGTCACCTCTTTCTTCCTCTTCCCTGATGCTTGCCATCTTTAAAATGGGCCCAGGAGTGGGACATGGTGGTACATAACTAATCCCAGCAACTGGGAGGCAGAGGCAAGATCTCTGTTGAGTTCAAGGCCAGTCTGGTCTACATAGTGAGCTTCAGAACAGAAGGGGAAAAAGGCCCAGCAAAGCAGGATCCGCCTATCTCACGGTGGTTTCGAGCATAAAAAAGCAAGGAAGTGAACAAAACAGAGATCTGGAAAGTTGAGGGCTATAGAAATGTAAAGCCATGTCAGGCAGGGGTGGCCCACAACTTTAATTCCAGCACTCAGGAGGCAGAGGCAGGCAGATCTCTGAGTTTGAGGCCTACAGAGTGAGTGCCAGGATAGGCTCCAAAACTACAAAGAAACCTGTCTTTAAAAAAAAAAAAAAAAAAGTAAAGCCATCTTGTGGTTGAGGACTGCTGAGTTTCTTCTGGAAAGGTACTGAGGACCTGAACTTCTAAGGAAGTCAGTTGAAATCTAACAATAACAAGGACCCTGACCTGTAGCGCTCTTAAGGAATGTCATTCTTCAGCCTTCTTAGAGCCTTGTGCCCAGGTCAGCACAGTGCTGTGTGCCAGAAGCAGGATGAGAAAGGACTGGGATTCTAGGTATAGCACACAGAGGTCAGAGGGCTGGGCTGGTGTGAGCAGCTGCTGGACCACAGTACTGTTAGAATGGGCTGGAACTGAGCCCAGACAAGGCCCAAGTCAATATTGACTATCCTCAGCTGGCTAGCCTGCTCTTCGGCCTCTCGTTCAGCTGGAGTGTTGACATAAGCTACTGAATGAGCTTCATCGAGGTATTCTTTTAAACAACAACCCATTATGTATCCCCTGGGGTTCTCTGGGCCTGTGGTGTGGGAATGGTATAAGGGTTTAGACCCACTTCATCTCCCTGGATCACATAAATGAGGTAGCAGAACCTCTGTGTCCTGCTCAATTTTCTTGGGTCTTCTACACCTCAGCACTGTGGCCTAGGCAGCTCCACAAAGCCAGCAGGCCACAGAGCAAAGGCTCGAGTCTAAGGTCTCAACCCTGAGGGTAGCAACTGAGAAAAAAAAAAAAAAAAAAACATGAAACTTCCTCCGGTGTGGTTTGGGAAGTCAGAATAGGGTGCTGGGGTGCCACCTCATTTGACCTTCAGGGCATGTAAAGAGAAGAGAAGCAAATGGCAGGCCTGGATCCTCGTGGGGGCTCAACAGTGAGGGGATCTGACAGACCTTGGGAAGGAACAGAGCTAGCTCTTTGTGGCTGACCATGTTTGAGCAGAGTGCAGCCAGACTCTCCTTGGGAATACCATGAGGATAGAAGCCAGGCAGAGGTTCATGGAGTGGACATCTCTTCCCTCTAGGGCAGCTAACCCATCCATACCAGCGTCTCCTTGGAAGGAGCGAGCTTACCTTTGCCAAAAGTGAAGTCTTGTCTACAGGGTGTGCAGAGCCCGGAGTGGGGCTGATGCATAATAAATGATATTGTTTGATATTTAGGCAAATTCCAGAGAGTAAAGGCTGAGAAAAGTCTTCCTGGCCAATGATTTGGTGAAGGCCATCTTCTGTTCACAGAAATTTCCAACCAGGGGGCTGATGAGGCCCACCCTTCTTCCTAGAGGAGTGAGGTGATGGGCCCAATATGAGCTACAAGGAAGCCACACAGGCCTGCTGGAGATATCAGTGTGGGGCCACCTGGGGGAAAGGGCCCTCTACAGGCTACATCAGGCCCAATAGTAGCCAAAATAGGTACATTTCTAACGCTATAGAATCCAGAAAGTTGCCTCTGTCTTGTAAAGTAGGCCCTTCCTCAAGAAAGCTTGGGAACCACCACTTGGGTGGGATGGGGTCCTGATGACAGAGTGAAGCCAAGTTCGCCTCAGGGTCTAGAACAGATTCTTTCCTTGCTGCTGTACTTAGGCTAAAGAACTTGGTTTTGGGGGCTGGATTATTCCTTACTTCCATAAAGACCTTCCAGACCTGTGGATAGGAATCATATATGTGACAAGCTCAGCTTAGAGCCTGGTACTTCATGACTCTGCCTCAGGGTGTCTTACTAAAATCCCCCTAACAGCTCCCCGAGGACAGAGGGTTACTCTCTTTGCTGTGCCTGGAGAAGCTAGCCAAGGGGGATGACTCCTTTCTCTTGTCAGCAAAAGATACAGAGAGGCTGAGACCCAAATATTAGGTCAAGGCCACAGGCCCCAAGGTCACCTGCTGAGCCATCCTAGACATGAGTTGAGAAGCACACCCTGAGCCTTCTTGTGAGAAAGCTGGGACCTTACTCTCTACGATGTCACTGGCACCTGAGCAGGGGGGCCGTCACAGTTCTGTAAACCAGATTCCCAGGAAGCTTCCTTCCAGTATCCCAGAACTTACTTGTGTAAGTGACCTAATAGAACTGAACCCAGTCTCCTTCCCAAGAGCTGCACACCTCTCGCTATTTACTTTTTCTCAGCCTGTGGCCCATTCTCTGAAGCCCTTTGGCAAGCTAAGCATGTTTTCCTTGGAAGGCATTCAAGGTGTGGAAACCACAAGTCACCCAAAGCTGGGTTGGCAGGGTAAGGTGGGTGACCACACTGGACACTTGCTCCTGGTAAAAAGAAAGACTGACAGGCTAGGACAACAATTGGCATTGCTTCAAGGACTCAAAGGTGACTCTCAAATAGCAGAGCCCAGGGAGCAGATGGGCACTGCAAGGGCTCTGCTATATGCTTTGTGTCAGCCTTGGTCTCTACAGTTCCGTCTCGGGTCTGAGGAGCTGCAGTCTGAGAACTACCTTCTCATCCTCCAAGTGGACACTTGACCTGTTTTCCCTTGTCCCTGTGTAATGGTGGCATCAAACAGGGAACCCTGTCCACTGCCCTGTGATCCAAATCTACGTTGCCTTCCTCCTTCCCCAGGGGCTTTGTTTTTCATATATGTCAGACTCTGGTCATCAAAGCCCCTAGTGCAACCTTTCTAAAACATTTTGCCCACCCCTTACAGAGTAGAAGACATACTGGTTCCATATAAGGTAAGGGTCAGCCTACAGGTCAGGTTAGCCCTGTTTACCTGGGCTGATTCAGGCAAGTTCCAGGTCAGGTGGAGGGAAAAGGCCCTGTCCCTGTCACTTTAGTGGTTTTCATTAGGCCATTGGCAGGGCCCTGATCCCTGCTGGGGAGGCCTCCAAGAAGGAGATCATTAACAGCGCTGCTCACGGTGCATAGGTGGGCACAGGGACACTGCTCGCGGTGCACAGGCAGGCGTAGAGATAGAGCAGGGCCCATGGAATCTGATCTGGGTTCAGTCCCCACCTATAACCCACACACATACATAGTCATTTCCTGTTTCTGTGATCTGGGGCAGGCTCTCTGCCCACCTTGAGCCTCATCTAGCTAGTGAATAATGAAGATTCCTTCCTTGCAGAATTGCTAGCCCTCAGAAGGGAGATCCTGCCTTTTCCAATTCTGAGTCTCTAAGCCCCTTGGACACTGGTGTCCCTCTTTCTGTGATCCCAGGCCTGTGGCTCTCTGAACTGTCACACCAACTCTCCTCCTGAGTTTATTGTGTAGGGCAGCGCTTCATCCATAAGGCCTCTTCCAGAGACTGCCACACTCCTGTCTGCCAGCCTTGCTGCCAGTATAGCTTCCGTCTCCAACTGGTTTTGGCTGGAGTCCTCCCTCCCAGCACTGGGCACCCTGCTCTGATCCAGTCATGGGGTCAGAGAGCTCAAAGATAATATGGAAAGCACTCCTTAAAGCCTGAGGTCTGGTCCTCAGCCAGCCTTCCTGTCCTGGGTTAAGTGTCTGGCAGAAGATGAGAGGCCACCTCATGTCTGCCTGTTTCTACATCAGGTCTGAGGCCACAGCCTCTTTATCAGGCTACATCTGTGAGGAAACTCCTTCTGCCTTGCTCATCTTTGACTCCAGCTCCTCTCTGGATGAGCAGAGGTGGATGCAGAGGTGGAGTGACAGTTAAAGACTGGGGTAGCCTGATTTGACTGAACACCACAGCCTGGTGGTCAAATGCTACTCCCCCATGGCTCTGGGAAATATGTGGGAAGGAGGCCCTAGAAATGGCAAGTCTTGACAGCTATTCTTAGCAGAGGACATTGACGTTCCAAGTCTCACTCATGGAGACTGGGCAACACTGGCTATCATGGACTACTCTTACATTTAAAAATATTTTGGTAGCTGGATTAACAGCTCAGTGGGTTAGAGCATGTATTGGCACCCAGGTTGAATATATAACTCCACTTCCAGGAGGTCTAACTCCTTCTGGCCTCTGAGGGTACCTGCATGCACATGCACATACCTATACACAGATACATATACATACACATATGTAAAAATAAAATAAACCATTATATAATAGGTAAAAATATTTTGATTCCCCCCTATAATTTCAGCACTTGGGAGTCTGAAACAGGAGGATCAACTGGAGGCTAGCCTGGGCTATATCATAAAAAACTTTGTCTAAAAAGTAGGTTGTTTTCCTTAGAAGAATGGAAAGGTGTCATAGGAAATTCCCAGAGTCCCACCAGTTAAACTCAGCAATTATTTTGGTGTATTTTTCCCCCTGCTACACTGACCAGTGGCAGAGGTGAAATTTTAAGTTGGCCCCCTTATTATTCCCGTTTCAACAAAGAAAACCTTGATGGGATGCCTCTGGGATGCATGAATGCAGACAGGTTTGGGCCCTAGCCTGTCAACAGTTCCATAACCGATCCAACGTGGCCCAATCTAGTCATCACATGGCTGGAGAGGGGGACAGCCAGACTGTACCCTCCACCCCTGAACCTACCACCAGCATTATGACTTTACCTTCCTCATGTAGGTTATGATCTGTGTCTAATTGACATAAGGGTCTGCTATGAGCTCATTTCTTCAGGTTCATTTTCCCCCCACATAGATATTTAATTGCTTTGGCTATATTTATTGAAAAGACCATCCATTCCCACCATGCTGCAGTGTCACCTTTGCCATAAATCAAGTGACCTCATGTGAGTGGCTCTATTTCTGGATTCTTGCTTCTGTCCCGCTGCTCTATTAATTGTGCTGTTTCTACAGCACATTAATTACGGTAGCTTTATGATAAATCCCAATATATATTTAGTATAGGCCTCCAACTTTGTTCTCTCAGATTGCCGAGGCTATTCCTGGTTCTGTTTCCTGCACATTTTAGAATCAGTGTGTCAGTTTCTGCCACAAGAAATATGCTGAGCCTGAAATAAGCCTGTAGGTTGATTTGGGAGTAACTGACATCTTCACAGTGTGAAATCTTCAACATATGAACATTCTTTAATATCTCTGATAATGCTTTATGGCTTCCAATGTGAAGAGATTTATTCCTGGATGCTTGCTATTTTTTAATGTAAAAATGATAATGTCATTTCCTTTTTCTCTTCTAAAAATTTATCTTTATTTTGTTTTGCATGTGTACATGTGTGCTACATACATGTAAGTGCACCACAGGAGAGCTGCAACGGTCAAACAGGGGGTGTTAGATTCCTCTGGAACTGGAGTACCAGGTGGTTATGAGCTGCCATGTGGGTGCTAAGAACCAAACTCAGGTCCAGGTCCTCTGCAAGAACAGCAAGTTTTTCATCTGTTTGTTTTGTTTGAGACAGGGTTTCTTTGTGTAGCCCTGGCTGTCCTGGAATTCACTCAATAGACCAGGCTGGTCTCAAACTCACAGAGATCCACCTGTCTCTGACTCCCAGAGTGCTGAGCTTAAAGGCATGGGCCACTAAGTCATCTCTCCAGAACCACCTTCTCCTCCTCAAGACAGGCTCTGTAGCCCAGGCCAGCCGCAAACTCACTATGCAGTGCATGCTGGCTTTGAATTCCTGATCCTCCTGTCTCATCTGGGATTATAGATGTGAACTACTTTGCCCAGCTCTGTTTCAGTTTATACTGAAATTCAATGAACTTTTATTTATGTTGCCCTTGAATTGAGGACTTTCTAAATTAATTTGGTTCTTGCAGACTCTTCTGGCTTTTCTACTTTCACAAACACACTGTCCCAAGCACAGCTGGCCTGACCAGATTTCAGATGAGCCCTGGCGGCCTTCCTTTAGGTCCTGTTGTTTAAATGATTAACTGTTATCTAAATCTCTATCTCCAACCTAAAACTCCACTGAGTGCTTCTACCAGTCTCCAACTTCCAGAGTCCCTTGGGTGCTGGTCTTTCTCCTTAGGTTTCTCTACTGCCTCTGGGGAGATCTTGTCAGGGAATAGCTGTTATGGTGAACTCCAGAAGATATGGGAGTCACAGACACCACTTAATGCTCATGCTTTCCCTCCCCATGAATGCCTATTCAAGAGCCAAGAGCTCATCTCTCCGTTGGCATGGAGGAGTTGGAGAAAGCAGGGTTCTTGAAGGAAGACCTCAGCCAGTACCTCTGTGGTTCTGGATGATATTTGCAGCTCTAGAAAATTTCACAGCTATGGAGGAAGCAAGTGGGTCTGTGTCTCAGTGTAGGGATCTTTTGTTGTGGTGAAATGCCATGACCAAAAGCAAGTCGGGGAGGAAAGGATTCATTTAGTTTACACTTCCGGATTGTAGTTCATCACTGAGGGAAGTCAGGACTGGAACTCAAACATCAGGAACCTGGAGGCAGGAGCTCATACAGAGACCATGGAGGGTAGATGCTTGCTGGCTTGCTCAGCCTTTCTTAATAGAACCCAGGACCAGCCCAGGAATGGCACCACCTACAATGGGCTGGGCCCTCCCCAAAAATCACTAATTATGAAACTGCCCTGCAGCAGGATCTTACAGAAGCATTTTCTCAATCGAGGTTGCCTCCTTTCAGATGACTCTAGCTTGTGTCATCTAGTCTGCTAACTACAGGGAGAGAGGGTCTACCTGAGAGGCTGTAGGGATTGGCCTGCTGCCTGAAGCAAGAGCCAGAGGCCCAAGCAGTCCAAAGAGGCTGCACAATGGTGATGTGAGGTAGAGTGTCTGGGTCCCAGAAGCTAGAATTTTATAGTCATGACCCCTTGAGAAGTAAATGAGAGAGGTAAGATATTTGACATCACTCATAGACCCAAATCTACCCAAGTGCCAAATCTACCCCAAGCTTAGAGAAAGGGGAGAGGGAACACAACTAGAGAGATGACCAGCATCTGTTGGGAATCTGCACTCCCACAAGCACCACTAGATAGATGGGTAAGGGGACACAGAGGCTCAAGTTGCTTGGGTAACTTGTTCCAAGGCACTCCTTTTTAGGGAAGAGACTCTCCAACTGCAACTCGATGCATAGCAATGTAAAGTCCTTAAGGAGTGTTAGAGAGACTGCTGATCTTCTAAGGGGTGTGCCATGGATTCCACTGCCTTACACATGGCAAGTTCCTGGGGAGGACACGGTGCTCCTTCCACCTTTCTTATTGGTACCCATTGCCTGCACATACTCTCCAGAACTACCAAACTGATGGGGAAAATACTCTTTCCAGAGAAAGGGCAGTCAGAGATTGCAATGGCCTGCATGCCAACTCTTCAACTGGATGAGTACTCCAATTATTCGCATGCAGAATCAGTGTAAGCTGTGTAAGGCAGTGTATTTGCATCCCAGCTACTCCAGAGATGGAGGCAGGGAGATACCCCTCTGGGAAACACAGCAAGACCCTATTCAGAGACAGAGACACATTGATTCATTTCACTTCTGAAATGTTTTGAGCTACGTTATGTGTCATTTATCAATATACTGATCCCAGCCTGGGACTCCCTAGGACAGACCGCTGGAAGCCCCTCTACCTTCCAGGTTCACAGTTTCCCCCTCTGAGGTGTAGTCATATTATCCTTTCCAAGCTCATGTCATTCATTCCCATTGACAGAGCTCAGTAAAGCCACGAAAGATCAGCAAGGTGTGGGGTTGCAGGCTAGACCACAAGAGACACTGTGCAGTGTCCTAGAATAGGGTGAAAATCCACAGTAATGGGACTCTGCCTTTTATGGAGAACTTGACCTGTGAGGTAGCTACTTTGGCCCCACCCAAGGCTGACATTTTGGCTCAGTCCTTTCCAGAATTAAGGCAAAGTGCATGTTCAAAAGGACCGCCCTTTTGGAATTGCCAAGTGGTATGATACCTACTCTCAGCCTGGGCAACAGTACTGCAAACTGGCCAGCTGGCTTCTCGTTAATGCTAATGTTGTTTGTCACTTTAATGGGTTTCCTGTTGGTCAGGCAGCAACAAACAAGAGTTGGATGTGACAAAATTTTTAACATATCATTTGATTCAGTTAGCTAGTTTTTCACATTTATGGAGTGGGGAGGAGGATAGTTTAGACAGGATCTTGTTATATTGTCCAAGCTAGCCTCAAACTCATAGCAATACCCCTGCCACAGCTTCCTGAGAGCTGAAATTGCAACCGTGTCCCAGCTCACATTTTTGTTCTTGAGTGGGCTTGTTTCAGATTTTCCTTTTCTTGTATTCTTATTGGCTGAGAGTCAAGGTCATACCTGTTTCACAAAATAAGTCTGCCAGCCTCCTAACCCTCCTGCCCTGTTTTTGTAATTCTTTGATGTGGATTGATATTTGTAATAGGCTTTGGGTTTTTTAAAAAACACTCCCTGGTGGGCGACTCGGCACAAACAAGAAGGTGGACACCTTCTTTCCCTTGTCTGTAGTCTGTGTTGGCTTATTTATTTTATTTGCAGCCCTTTTGTTGTTTCTAAAACTGTTCTGCTGGGAGCCAGCCATTTCCCTGAGTAAGTCTGAAGAGAGTGAGGGACTCTCCAGGTACAGAGATGTTATACTGAGGGAGAAATACAGGACTGAGACGGTACCCAGCACCCACCGAGCCACCCCAGGATCCCTGGGACCAGCTCAACTGACCCTCCTGTCACAGGCACCATGTTCCGCAAGAAAAAGAAGAAACGTCCTGAGATTTCGGCCCCACAGAACTTCCAGCACCGTGTCCACACCTCCTTTGACCCCAAGGAAGGCAAGTTCGTGGGCCTCCCCCCACAATGGCAGAATATTCTGGATACCTTGAGGCGGCCCAAGCCTGTGGTGGATCCTTCTCGAATAACTCGGGTGCAGTTGCAGCCCATGAAGGTAAGGGGACAGGCTTATTGCCGCTGTGTTCAGCCTCTCCCACTCCACAGAAAGCTATCTGTGAAACCCGAATTTTGAGCCAGGTGTGGAAGCTTTTATTATAAGCCCAGCACTTGACAGGCTGAGGTAGTCATATTGCAGTGAGTTGGAGGGCAGCCTGAGCTACAGGGTGATGCCCTGTCTTGAAAACCACCCCAAACCCACCAAAATTAATTACCTAATCAGAATTTCAGCTAACACCAGTCTTTAAGAATGTCTCATCCACCATTTAGATCTGTAGCCCCAGAGGAGTTGCGGTTATCACAGACCAGAGGTCACATGGGAGATTTAAGAATTGGGTAGGAATTGGGGTTAGGAGTCCTGTTGTAGGGTGGGGTGTGGGGGAGGGGGGGCAGAACTGGTTTTCTCAGGCATCTGTTTGAAGACCATGGGAAGAGTTAGCGCCTGAAGCGCCCCTCCTGAGTTCTCCAGCTCCCTAGGCTCCGCTGGCCACCCACTTTTCATGCTGGACCCACCCATGGGTACCCACATATCTGTCCCGCTGACAAGGGCTTTCTCCCTTTCTCCTTATGGACTGCACAGCGGGCCTTGCCCACTGTGAGCACAGGCAAATGTCTGGATACCTAAGGGGTGGGTGGGTGACAAAGGAGGTGTGTGGGTAGATATTCCTCCCCAGGGCCCTCAGGGAGGCTCTGAGCCACTCTCTGCCATGAAGGGACTGCTTCTCCACACCCTTTTGTCTTCCTTCCATAGACGGTGGTACGGGGCAGCTCAGTGCCCACGGAGGGCTACATCTCAGGGCTGCTCAACGACATCCAGAAGTTGTCGGTTATCAGCTCCAACACCCTTCGTGGACGCAGCCCCACCAGCAGGCGGCGGGCGCAGTCCCTGGGGCTGCTAGGGGACGAGCAATGGGCTGCTGACCCAGATATGTACCTCCAAAGTCCTCAGTCTGAGCGCACTGATCCCCATGGCCTCTACCTCAGCTGCAATGGGGGCACACCAGCAGGTCACAGGCAGATGCCATGGCCAGAGCCACAGAGCCCACAGGCCCTGCCCAATGGGCTGGCTTCCAAGGCTCAGTCCTTGGGCCCCGCTGAGTTCCAGGGTGCCTCTCAGCGCTGCCTGCAGCTGGGTACCTGCCTGCAGAGTTCCCCACCTGGCACCTCACCCCCTATGGCCACAGGGAGGCATGGGGTGAAGGCTGCCAAGCATAGTTCAGAGGAGGTCCGGCCGCAGTCCTGCCTGGTGAGCTCAGCCATCGGCAGGCCAGGTGGAGAAGGCAGTCCTAGCCCTAAGAATCAGGAAGGCAGCCTCAAGCACAGGCTCTTCCGAAGCATGTTCCTGTCCACTCCTGCCACAGGCTGTGCAAGCAGCAGCAAGCCTGTCCCTCTGCCACAGAACAAGGTATGCCACCTGGGGCCTCCTGATGGGGTCACTCTAAAGAGAGCAAGGAAGTCCTCCCAGCAGACATCTATAGGGCAGTAAGTACTAGAGATGCCAAGCCAGCAGCCAGCCTGGCCTCCCCCACTTACTGGGTCAGGATAAGAATGAGAGAAATCAGCATGAGCATCTTAGCTAACAACTATAGCCTGATTTCACTGCCTGAGTCCATGTCTTCCCAAGACTTAGCACGGGGGATTCAAGCTGTAAGCCAAATCATTTCAGGTGGAAGAGAAACCTCTGTGCCTGACATTCCTGTTCTCTGAGGCCTGGCAGCCCACTGGGGGGGGGGGACCCTCCTTTAAAAGCATCCTTAACTAAAGGCTCAGGGCAGAACCTCAGAACCCAAGCAGGGATGTGAACCCTGGCCTGGCAGGACTTAGGCAGGACCTAGATTTGGGAAGTCTGAGTAAGCAGGCCAAAGTGACGATTCCAGGAGATTCCCTTGAGTAAGGTCATTGCTGTGGCCGTGTGCAAAGCCAGTGAGTATTGAGACGTGTGTCTCTGTGATGTACTTAGGGACACCCTGAGTAGTCCTCTGTGTAGCCCCTAGCTGGTCCCTCTCCACATGTTTAAAAACACAGTGTGGTGAGGGGGTGGGCTTCTACTCCAGGGCTGACAGGAAGGCTTGAGCTTAGGAATAAGAGGGGTTTCCCTGGCATTCAGGGATGGGCTGTCCCTCCTCTGTCTCATCTCCCCCACCACCGAGGCTGTGAGACTAGCTCCTCAGTTCCTTCTCCAAGGGTTCCTTTGCCAAGAGCCTGTTGGTGGGTTTAACCTCCTAGATACACAGCCTCCCTCTGTAGGCGCAGTCAGGGCTGCCAGATCCCGGCCATGGCTTCTTCCCTGACTTGGTTCTGGGAGCCAGTCCCAGCTACCCACAGCCCCTTCCACTCACATCAGGGGCCTCTGACCCAGCTTCTCAGAGAAATCTGTCTCACAATGGCCTCCCTGAGTTCTGCCTGTCAGTAGCCCAGGAAGAAATACCCAGCTTGAGATCACCGCAGGACTTTGTCTTCCCTGGAGCAATAACATGGGTATAAAGAGATGCTCTTGGGTGGGAGCTTGGGGGTTGGGGACACATCTGTTGGTCTGGTTGGACTCAGCTTCATTTTTCATTTGAATTTGAAGCCCTGGGTGCCCGTGCTAGTGTCCAGACCACAGTAGCCAACCCTGCCTCTGGGAAGCTTGCATCAAATATTCCCTGACCACACCCACTTTATTGTATCTTTCCATCTGTCCTTGTCCCCACAGCTCCATTCTGCTTTCCGACCACCACAAAAAGATTCCTCCTCAAACCTGGTGGCCAAGGCCCAGTCCTTGCCCTCAGACCAGCCCATGGGGACTTTCAGTCCTCTGACCACCTCGGATACCAGCAGCCCCCAGAAGTCCCTCCGTACAGTCCCAGCCACTGGCCCGCTTCCAGGACGCTCTTCTCCAGCAGGCTCCCCCCGCACTCGGCATGCTCAGATCAGCACCAGCAATCTATACCTGCCCCAGGACCCCACGGTGGCCAAGGGGGCCCTGGCTGGAGAGGACACTGGCATTGTGACACATGAGCAGTTCAAGGCTGCGCTCAGGATGGTGGTGGACCAGGGTGACCCCCGGCTGCTGCTGGACAGCTATGTGAAGATTGGAGAGGGTTCCACGGGCATTGTGTGTCTGGCCCGGGAGAAGCATTCGGGTCGCCAGGTGGCAGTCAAGATGATGGACCTCAGAAAGCAGCAACGCAGGGAGCTGCTCTTTAATGAGGTGAGGACCGGGTGGGGCGGCAGTAGGGCATATGTGTGTAGTGAGAGCTGGGCACCTGGGAGCAACATGGCAGAACGGCAGGGTGGTCTGAGCACGGGATACTGTGTTAGGCACTCAGGCCTCTCTCTACCCTCAGGTGGTGATCATGCGTGACTACCAGCACCTCAACGTGGTGGAGATGTACAAGAGTTACTTGGTAGGCGAGGAGCTGTGGGTGCTGATGGAGTTCTTGCAGGGCGGGGCCCTCACAGACATCATCTCTCAAGTCAGGTGGGCAGTTGAAAGGGCTGGGCTGAGGGAGGAGCACTCTGCCATTGTCTTGGCATGGGGATCAGCTGCCTCTGGCCCATAAGGCTAGTAGTCATCTTAGACTCCTGCATATTTGGGAGTCTTAGGAAAATGGTTACAGCCTGCTTAGGTATGCTGGCCGGGAGTTGTGGGCCCCTTTGCCTGGGACTCCTCTCTGCGCAGCCCAGCCACCCTGATGACACAGCTTGCTCTCCCATGGGTGGCCCTGTCTTCCCTGTCCAGGCTGAATGAGGAGCAGATTGCAACTGTGTGTGAAGCTGTGCTTCAGGCCTTGGCTTACCTGCATGCCCAGGGTGTCATCCACCGGGACATCAAGAGTGATTCCATCCTGCTGACCCTTGATGGCAGGGTAAGTCCTCCCTTGCCATGGCTCAGCTGCATCCCATCCTCTGTAGCACCCCCTCTCCTCCTGATCTCTATCCACTTCCTTTTCAACTCCCAGGTGAAGCTCTCAGACTTTGGATTCTGTGCTCAGATCAGCAAAGATGTCCCCAAGAGAAAGTCCCTGGTAGGAACCCCATACTGGATGGCTCCTGAAGTGATCTCCAGGTCTCTCTATGCTACTGAGGTAACCATTTGCTCCACCTCCAGGCCTCCCTGGAGAAGCTTAGGGATGGGTAGCTCCTCTGTCTTGTCCCTGTTAAGAATTCCCACCACTAATAGCCCCAGTTCTGAGGCCCCCACTTAACCAGTGTCTGTCCCCTACCTGCTTTTTGAGAGAAGGTCTCTCTACGTAGCCCTGGATTTTCAGCGGTACCCCAGCCTCTGCCTCCCAAACACTGGTGCCTCACCACCACGGCCAATCCCACCTGCCCTCACTACCAGGAGCAGACCCTGCCACACGCTGTCCTCTTCAGCTCAAGGGCACAGTGGCATATGGCCAGTGTTCTCCATGATGGATCATTTCTATGGTCACTGGCCACTCATGGGCAGCTGGCCAGGGGACGAAGGAGGCAGACTCATTGAGGGGACTTGGCAGGAGACAAGATGCTCCATCCAACACACTGCCACCAAGAGCCAGACCCTAGCAGTGGAGTCAGGGCTATTCTCCTGCAGGTGGACATCTGGTCTCTGGGCATCATGGTGATTGAGATGGTGGATGGAGAGCCTCCCTACTTCAGCGACTCACCGGTGCAAGCCATGAAGAGGCTCCGGGACTGCCCCCCACCCAAGTTAAAGAACTCTTACAAGGTCAGTTATTGTGCAAGCTGTGAACTCCCCGACCTCATAGCCTGAGCCATCTTCCCCTGAGATAAGAGGATGGGAACATGGGTTCCATGGAAGCAGAAGGGTATATGCTCTTGGTGGTTTTCTACATAAAACCCGTGCCGGGTGCAAAGTCACATTTATATACAAACTCCCATGTTTATTCCAACACATTCCCGCCTGTAGCTGCAGCAGGAGAATCACTGCTCGGGAGGCTCTTGACAGGAACCCACCCACACCTGTGAGGAGAAAGAGTAAGGACCTCACTGCTCCCAGCTGTGTCCCAAGGAGTCCAAATCCTTCCACCCTACTTGTCGAGGCCATCACATGAATGGGCTTGTCCTCTTGTATGACACATCCTGACCATAGCTGGGCCATTGCTTTCCCCCTAAAACCAGTGTGTATTTATTATTATAATTAACTCTTTCCTGCCAAGTCTGCTGGCAGATCGGCACAGAACAGCTAAGTGGTACTGCCACCCGGTGGCCAAAGCAAAAAGCAATCCTAGAGGCTTGAAGCACAGCTTGGTTCTTGGAGACTGCCCTGCTAAGCCTGAAAAGAGCAGGTCCAGAAGAGTGGCCCATCAGTGAACTGTCCCCAGGAGGCAGCCTTCTATAGAATCCTGACAGCCTCACAGATCCGGAACTGGATCACCGACACCAATTCCATGCCCCTTTCACAGAGCTGCAGAGGCTGAATGCCAAGAGCCCCCCAGAAGCAGGCAGGGGTAATGGGCCATGTATGGAACCCAGCTCCCCAGAGTTCCAGATATCCTCATTCCATTGCTCTGCAGCTCTCATGCCCGGGGAACTGGCCTCCTTTTCCTACCTCCTTATCCAACAGTCAGTGAGCCTGACAGGAACCAGGAAGTAAGAAACCAGAGAAAATGGGGTATAAAACAGTGGAGGGGCCTGCAGTCCAGGCTGCATGCAAGTGACTGTGAGCCCTGGCTTCCTCTCACTGCTCTGGTTCACAGGTCTCCCCGGTGCTTCGAGACTTCCTGGAACGGATGCTGGTACGGGAACCCCAAGAGAGAGCCACAGCCCAGGAGCTCCTGGATCACCCCTTTCTGCTGCAGACAGGGCTGCCTGAGTGCCTGGTGCCTCTGATACAGCTCTACCGCAAGCAGACCTCCACTTGCTGATTCCACACCCAGGGTGCACCTGCCGCGCCCACAGGCAAAGGCCACCGGGCAGCCAGTCCACCGGCAGGGCCTACCTGCCTTGTTCTCTCAGTATTCTCTCCAAAGATTGAATGTGAAGTTCCAGCCCTTCCCTCTTGCCCTTTTGCCCACCGGGCCAGGCCGGACCTGCCCCCTCAGTCTCACTCCCCATCGTCCCAGTTGCCTTTGGGATGACTGACCCCTTCTGCAGGTTTGGCCCTTTGTTATTTGCACAGGGATGTTTCTAAGAAACATGGAGAGTGGTGCTCCTAGCCACCAGCCAGCAAACAGGCTGCTGCAGATTTTTAAAGGTAGTTTCCACTAGTGTCCTGGGCCACCAAGAGGGTGCACACCCCCATCTCCACGTGGATACTTGCTATTCTCAGCTACAGCTTCAAAACCAGGAGTTCCAGAGGGAGGGCCAAGGGGAAGGATTTTATTGCCTGAGTCCTTCTTCCTCCCTTGGCTGACTCCCAGAAGCTCCACTTGCACCTGTCTCCTGTCTGTCCCCTGGCAAGCCTCTCCCCAGAAAGCCTCCACAGAACTGTGAATTGCCTGTGTGTGGGCCATGGGAGTAGCAAGGGGGCTCTTCTGAGAGAGAGAGTGTGGTCGATGGTAAAAGTGGCTCCGATTTTTTCAGAATGGAGAGAACATATTTTTTTTCTCTCTCTCTCATGTCTGTGGTGTGTGTGTGTGGTGTGTGTGTGTATGTGTGTGTGTGTGTGTGTGTGTGTGTGTGTTAAAGCCCCCCAATAGCCTAGGCCTTTCCAGTTATCCATAGAGAGCTTCAAAAGAGCTGCCCCCCCAAATCTTCTTTTCTACCAAGCTCTACTTTGAAGAGCCCTGCTTTGGGGGCCTGGCTTTCTGCCTCTCAAGTCTCATGTTGTTACCTAAACAGTGAAGGGCTGTGTATATGTCCAGTCTAACACATGCTGGGGCCCTTGAAGTTTCTGAGCTTCTCCCACATAGAGACAGGAATAGTAAGGGAATAAACTTTGTTTTACCTGGCAGCAACTTCTCAGTAGCCAGTGATATCATCAGGGACCCTCTTCAGAATCCTGGGCTGGGACAGAAAGGTGAACCACCTCCTTGGGGGGGGGGGTCCCTCATGCCAAGTTGGGTCCTTTCCATGTGTGAACCAGCTGCCCCTGCAGATGCTTCCCTGCCCCCTTGCCCCCCTCCCTCCCCACCTTCCTGGCTGTTGTGAGACAGGGAATGCCAAGGAAGAACTCCAGTGTCTGGACCCTATCCAGATAATATTTTTAGATTCCTCTGCTCCCTGACGACCTGCATTAGGGAAAAAAAAATTTTTTTTTTGCAAGGTCTTTTTTTAAGGGTCAGAGTTTTAAAAACAAAAGCATCTTCCCTAGAATTTTTTTGTGAATTGTTTGCACTTGTGCCTGTTTTAAATTAAACTGAATGTTCGAACCTCTGGGTTTCCCATCTCTGGGACTAGAGCCAGGCTTTCTTGGAGCTGGGTGCCCTTGGAATGGGAGCTTGGCGGGCTCCTCCGGGATCACTTGCGTCCACAGGACTTGTACACCTAGAATGAGGGCAGAGAAGTGGGGGAGGGGCAGGACGTGAAAGGCCCAAGGAATGGAAGCAAAGGGATGAGAGGGCTCTGGCCAGGGCTCAGCCTCCTGAGCCACCGGGACAGACCCCTTTCAACTATGGCTTCTCCCTGGCCTGGTCCCACAGACCAGCTCCCTGACATTTCTACCTGAAAAAACTAAAGGAGTGAAAGTTCAAAAGAGCAGGGAAGTGGCCAGAAACCAAGACACTCGGGTTCTAGCCCTGGGGTTGGGAGGTGGGTAAAATTACCTTTTAACTATTAGTTCTGGTGGTGATTCCAATCTTCCTTTTTGGAGCTCTACACCCAAAGCAATGCTCACTGAAACCCTTAACCAGGAGTGAGGAGCCATAACCAGCCCCAGCCCCACCCCAGCTCCGCCAGCCAGTTCAGCAAGAAGCAGAGCAGCTCCCTGCAGCTCTCTCCCTCCAGGCTCTAGCTGTAGAAAGGCCAAGGCCCAGGGCTGATGCAGGTAGGAAGCGCCTCCAAATCAAGTGTGTGCTTCCATCTTTTCAAAGGAAGCCAAGAAGCAGGAGTGAGCACGAAGGCAAAGAGAGGCCGGTTCTCCAAATGGAATAACACTGGGTTTATTAGCTGCGCTTACTCCCACTATCCCTGACACCTTACAGATCACTCCAAACGCATATGCCAATGCCCTTCAGCCGTCCACACCAAGCAATACTAAGCGCCAGTGGCCTGGTTGACTCTTCACAATGAGGACAATAACATGAAAAGCAGAATACACAGCAAAATCTTTTCTACAGCAGGTGGGGACAAAGGGGACCGCAGCCTCAGTGCATTGACAGCTGACAGAGCAAGTTTAGGGAGAGTGAAATGTGCTGGAGTTCTCCATGGAGCCTGCTAAGAGTCTGTGCAGACAGCAAGGACCACAACTCAGTTCAGATGGGAAAGATCTACTGCAGTGTTCCAAAAACATCACTTCAACCACACAGCTTCCAGACACTCCACAGACCACAGACAGGAGCAGTTGTTTACCCAACAGAGATGTGCCAAGGTGACATTCCCCCAGAATACCCACATTAGCAGTCCTGAGAAGATGACAGCACCCTGACACACGATGTGAGAGCCAAACTTCATGGTGCTTGAAGCCAAAATATTTGTATTCTTACACCATTAAAAAAAAATGCCGTTAAAATTAAACACGGTTGAAAATGGAATGTGAGCAAGGAAGGGTTAGAGAAAAAGCAGTATTCACTTGGAGTGTCCCTGCCCTGACCTCCTCTGGCTTTTCAGACATTGTGGTATTGTTCATCCGCCACTCAGGGGACTGAGGAGAGGCAGGTGTGTGTGCTAGGGGGTGAGGGAGTGTCTGTGTGTGTTGGGGCGGGGTGGCAGATCTCTCACCACAGGATGGAAAGCAACTGTCATAAGAAAACAATGCACATAGTAAGGTCAAGACTGAGAAGCCACAGAGGTTGGCAGCTCCAGCTGTTCTAAAGATAGCAGGAGCTCTCTCAACGGTAGCCTTGGCTTGGGGTTCTTGGTAAAGGGGTTCTTGGTGGGGTTCTGGGCACTTCTTACACCCGATGCTGACTTTCCTTGTACACTATTCCTCACTTCATTGAAGTGAAGTGACTTCAAGTATCCGGATTTAATATTCCACAACAGGAACACGCTTCGTGGGTAAAATACCCACAGAGGAAGAAGTTAAACATCAATGATCTCCCATAGTAGCGAAGAGTTCCCTGGGCACAAAGAGGAGAGCACAGAGGTGCCACCAGGGGGCAGCAAGGATCACCGTCCAAAGTGTGGGCTGGCGCACGGCCTCGGATGCTAGAGAGGCAAAGAACTGGGGAGGTGTCTGGGCTCTGCAAAACCTGACTTCCTACCCCTCAAGCGCAGGCCCAGTTTTGCAGCGCCAGCATTCTCTCTTGGCAGTTCCCTCGGAGTTATTGGTGAGAAACCCTCCCACAAATTCAACAGATCGACGTCTTTAAAAGACTTTATCGCCGGCAGGCGAGGGGCCACACGCTCACTCTTCCGGGTTCACAAACAGAAACCGGAGGTCATGGCCAGAAAACTTTCACTGCCTTGAAGCAGGAGTTTTCACCACACCCTGCTGGTACAGGTCTCTCACCAGGAGCTAACACTGACACTGGGTCGTAGAGCATGCGACCTGTCAAACCGTTTTCTTCACCGCCAGCGGAGGCGGTACGGAGTTGGACGGCAGGGGCGGAGAGGGAGAGGACAAAAGACTTAGCGGTGGGGGGGGGGCTAACTTCCTCTCCACAGTTGCTTCTGACTCACTAATCTGCCCAGTAATAAAAGCTGGAAGCTGGGTAGGGCCTGCATCCCATGCGGTGGGGCACAGGCAGGGGTCCTTGGTCTCGATCTAGCATCCATCATCTGCCCTGCCCTCCATTACCAACCCAGCAAGAAGCAGGAGACGTTTAGCAGCTCCCTCCTATGCGCTCTCTGGAGTTTGATGTAATTTAGATCCGGACCTGCGGTTCGTGTGGGCTTCCGACTCCCGCGCGCCGCCGTTTAACGTTGCAAACACTCCAGTCAATTATCCCCCTCGCTGAGGTGCTATTTAAAGAGACATTGTCAGGTTTTTAAGCCTTGGATCAGACCTGCTGCTTTCTGCCTCATACACAAAGGCTCAAAACACGAGTTCTTTTGAGGGTTGAAAGAAATACAATTAAGCAAATCCTTCCTAACTGTTCCAACCTCCTGGAGCACCCACGTGCAGAATGGGGGAGCTGGGAGGAGGAGGTGGGATGCTAAGTCCTTTCCATTTCAGGCCTCTAGGACTAAGCGGAAATATAAGTAAGGCTGAGCCAGGATGAGTGAAGCATTGAACCTCAAAGATGAACTTCAAACGCAGTCATGCTGAGAGTCAAGCTGGCCCAGGAGCCAAGTGTCAGTCAGTAGAGGCTCCGAGGAGCAGCAACCCTATAATATCAATGAAGTTGAACCCTAAAATACCAATGAAGTCAGAAGACAATTACTCCCCAGAAGGGACACTGGCGAACAACACCTAGACAAAGCCCCAAAATATTCTCATTGCCTTGAAGGAGGAGTTTCTACCTCAAAAAGCCTTAACCACTGAATTCCTTCATAATCAGCCCTCTGATCCAAAAAGCAAATGGGGTAACTTTAATTCTCCCTTTCCCCAACACTTACAGTGAAGGGAAACTTTGGTATTATGGTCAGCATTAGTAGGCATGGCAGGTTGGACCTTTGTTCTCCAAAGCCAGCTCTACTATTGCCAGGCTACCAAGGTGATGGGAAAAGTTAGAAATAAGCTCACAAGAACCAAAGCAGAACCTAGGCAGTTGAGCCGCAGGGCCCCTTTTCTGGCTAGAAAGCTGAAGCCTACAGAAGTCTTTCGAGTCTTGTCCCCCCCCCCCAAGGACAAGGGAGTCAGGGTGTGGGAAGGTGAGTTCTACACAGGAAATACCAAACAGCACAAAAAGATGAGATCTTTCTTAACTCTGGTGGAGGACTGGTGGAGATCTCCCTTTATCTGTGAGGACAATCTGTATGGGGGGGGGGCAAGTCACAGAAAAAGGGAAGGACTTGGAGAAAGGGACATCTCAGTGACCAGAGACAAGAGACCATATGGACATTGCAGGCCTCGACCTTACCGCTGAGCCTGCAGTACCACAGCCTCAGTGCCCGCCTGCCAAGGCTTTGGCCCAGGCACTGTGAAAGGCAGAGCGTTGGTCTCTAATTCCGAGCCACTCTCTGGCCCTGAAGCCTCCCCGACCAGGCTGGGGATGTCTGGGGCTGTGGACCGTCGCCGCAAACCCAGGCGGCCAGATCCCGGGCCACCCTCGGGATGTGGACTAAGGCCAATAGGGGCTTGCACAAAGGTTGGGGGCGCTCCCTCCAGCACCTCTTGTGAGCGCCACCGCCCACTCCCCGAAGACTGGGGTGAGTTTGGTCGGGCCATCAGAGCTCCTGCCCGAAGGCGTGCTGTCTCCTCCTCCGTCATGGTACCCAGAGCTAGGCTCATGCTCCGGCCCAGCTCCGGCCTCTCGCTGCCTTGTGCCCTGTGACGGCCCGAGCCCTTGACAGCAGAGACAAGCTCATTTCCGTGGCCGTGGCCGTGGCCGTGGCCTCCGGCAGCTCGAGCAAACCGTGCCAAAAGGGGCCGCGGTAGACGACGGGGGCTGGGTCGTCGGCGCTCTGGGCTGGGCGCCGGGGCGGGACGGCCAGGGGGACTGTCGGAGTTGGAGCCCCGGGCTGCTGCGGCTGCGGCTGCCCGACCCCAAGGCCCGGTGAGTGCCTGCACACAGGTCCCGTGACCGCGGGAGGCGGCCAGCTGCAGCGCCGTGAGGCCCGCACGGTTGGTGCGGTCAAGGCGCAAGCCCAGGCGGCGGAAAGAGCGCACCAGGAACTCCAGCACCGCCCCGTGGCCGCACGCCGCCGCCCACATCACCGGGCTGTTGCCGGCCGAGTCCGCCGCCTCCGGATCGCCGCTGAACTGCACCAGCAGCTGCACGGCGTCCAGGTGGCCTCGCTCGCAGGCCAGGCTGAGCGCTGTGCGGCCGCGCTCGTCCCGCAGGTTCACCGCCGCACCCTGCTCCAGCAGCAGTCGCACGAAGCGCGAGCGCATGGCGGGGTCCGGCAGCCCCACGGCCACCATGAGCGGCGTACGACCTTGCTCTGCGCGGCAGTCGATGATGCTGCGGTCCAGCGCGTCCAGGACGAAACGGGCCAAGTGGACTTTGCCCGCCTGCATGGCCTCAAGGAAGGTGCGCGTGCCCGCCCGGGGGCAAAGGTCCTTAGGCTTGAGCATGGCTCCAGAGACCGTGCTCGGGAACTCCGACCGCTCCGCACGGGGGCGCCCCTGTTCCCTCACCCTACGGGACTACGGCCCCGGCCCGGACACCAGTACCACTCTTTCCTCTCGTAGGTGGCAGCAGCCGAGGGTCCTGCAGTTGCCGCTCAGGTGTCCCTGCTGCTCCCTCTGTCTCGCAGCTCCGGGTTTGTCTTGAGCTCCTCCCTGGGCCTCCCGCCTGGAGGTGTGGGCTGCTTGCAACTCCTGGCTCCCACTCAAGCTCGACCTCCTCAACTCTCGGGCCGTTTTCCCCGTGTCCGACGTCCCCCTAGGACCTTCGTGGCTTGGAGCAGCGCCACTCACCGGCACCCCGGGCAGCCCCGGCTCCCCTGCTGAGCGGGTGGCTCCCGCCAGGCGCGCCTGCCTCCTGCCTCGGCGGGGAGCGCCGCTCCTCCAGCTCCCCGAGCCTCTCCCCACCTCCTCCCCTCTTGCGGGGGCCGGGACGCTTGCTTTTTTTTTTTTTTACTTGGGGGGCTCAGCCGCTCGTGAGGTGCTCGACGTCTAGATACCTGGCTTTATAGCTTCGGGGGTCTCCATGGCAATGGGTGCCCGGGAAGCGGGCTCCGCCGTCAGGACAAAGACGGACAGGGCGAAGGAGACCGCCCCTGACCCCCACCCCTCCGTGGGCCACGAAGTTGGGGAGCGGCTCCTCCTCCGCGCTCCCCTGGGAATGCGGCGGCGGTTGCGGGGCGGGGGCGGAGGCTGCTCGCCGGGGGCCACATGCACCCGGCGGGGCCAATCCTAAAGTCGCAGTCTTCTTTCCCCGCCCCCCGCCTCCGCCTGAGTCGGTACCCTCCGCTGCTTAGAAACTGGCGGGAGCTCCTGCCATCGGTTATAGGTTAAAGGGATAGGTTATAGGTTAAAGAAGATAGAACTGAACAATACATGAGCTTGACTGGGGTGGGGGTAGGAGGCCAAGAGACAGAGGAGTAATTAGGGGTTTGAGGCATTCGTGCTCCGGACTGAGGGCGCTCAGTCTGGTTGATAACTGCCATCCAAAGTGCAGGGAATCAGTCACACACAATTGTGCCTCCCGCACACGCTCACTCAGAGCAGGGCGGGGGTGCGTTCTCCAACCTCAGACGTCTCCAAACCTGACAGCGCGCCTGCATGCCAGTTCCATGGTCGCTGTGGTTGGAGCAGGCTGACTAGACAAGGGCCGCTGTGACCCAGGGCAGATGCCATAGGAAGGACCTGAGGGTGCAGGCATTAGGACTATCCGGGCACTACCTCCTCGCTCCTCCAGGACAAGCTATGGTCCAGGAAAGGACAAAAGAAAAAAGCAAGAATTCCCCCGCAGGACTGGATTCTCTTGACATAAAATCATGTCTAGGCCACGGGGCTCAAGGCCTGACGGCTAACCAAAGGGGAGAGCCTGAGATCCATTTTCAATCAGATGTGTGGAAAAGCCACTGGATAACTTCTTCCTTTGGGGAACCAGCTGCTTGGCTGCGGGGAGGGGGGCAATACTGAAAGCATCAGCTGATGTGAGTTACAATGAATGCCTCACAGCTTCCAGGTCCAGAGGGCACGAGGATAGTTGGAATAATGGAATTTATGTGTAGAGTGCGTGAAGAGCTAGGTATTTTTCCCAGCTGGTAAAATTTTTGTCCAATATACACAAAACCATTGGCTCCCGGTATTGCATGAAACCACGTGTGGCGCTGCACAGCTGTAACCCCAGCACTTGAGAGGTAGAGGCAGGAGGATCAGAAGTCAAAGATCATCACCCCTGGCTACGTGAGACCCACTGGATCCTGAATGAATGAGATTCGTCTTCTCAGTCAGGAAGACAAACCCAGGCTATGACAAGGGGAGGCTGTTGCCGAAGGATCGGCTACAGGTGCTAAACACAAAGCTCAGCCAGCCAGTAGAAGGAAGGATGGAATGATGGGGAAGAGAGGAGTCTGCTGAAGACAGCAGCCAAGGTAGTTGGTCCTTCGAGGATGAGTGATGTGGGGCTGCTAAGCCATAGGAAGATGGTCCAGACAGAGGGTTACAGACACAAAAGCACCTCACAGGGACAACTGTAGGGAACAACATTGAGGGCTGTAGTCAGGGGACCCATGCTGTAAGAGACAGCAAACTCGGTGAATTGAGGCGTCCCCAGCTTGGACTATGCTTTGTAGGCAGCTCCTGAAACACAGCGTTTTGTGAGGAGGACTCTTGCTGCTGTTGGAGAAAGGATAAAAGGCCAGGAACACCCCCCTCCCACCGGGGCTTTCTGGAACTCACACTCTGTTGTTCTTTGAGAACCATGTACATACTGCACACCCTGTTAGTGAGCCCCCACGTGCATTTCTTGGCACGAGAGCTAGGTCTCAGCCTGTGGCATGTACTAGCAGTGTCACTCCAGACCTGCATTTCCCCATCTTTAAGAGGAAACAGAGACTGACAGCTCAGCCTGCTCCATACAAGACCAGGGGGCCAGTGTTGAGACAGCACCGCACCATTATTTAGAGGGTGGCCCTTAAAGTCCGTCCCACCTAAACCAGGTGACACTCTCCACTCCCAGCGAGGAAACACGGAGGTTCTCCCTCTTGACTCAGCAGAAGGAAGGTTTAAGGTTTTCCCTGTCTGAGTTATGAGAGAAAACATTTTCTTCCCTTCTGTCTGCCTTTGGGATCAGGAGAAAGGTTAAGCTGTGTACCCCTAGGAGGAGAAAAGCAACAAAACCCAGGGCATTGGCCAAGTCCTTCCTCCCAATGGACCAGTCCAGCTTTGTTCGAGTCCCTATTGCCTGTGGTGGAGGGAAACAACTGGGGAGGGAGTAGTTGGTCAAGTCCCCTTCAGAGCCTCGCTGCATCTGTGCTGAGCTCCTGTGCTGAGCTCCCAAAGCCCAGGCCTCAGGCCCTGCAACCTTTGCCCTGACTTTCTTCCCTTGGGCTCATTATGTTCTGAAAAGAAACGAAGCAGCAAAGCTGGAAAAAAAAAAAAAAAAAAAAAGCTGAGACTCCACTGTAGAGCACAGAGGCACCAACAGCCGGAATTAGAAGCTGTCGCTGAGGGAGCTGAAGGCTGACAGGAGAAGGAGCTGTGCTGGCAGGGGGCAGGCAGGCACTAAACACTCCCCCCCCCTCCACCTGCCCAGCTTCTCCTCCCGCAGGCCCCAGGCTGGCAAAAGAGCGTCCTCCCTCCCAGAAGTGCCTCCGCCTGCAAGTCTGTCTGTCTGTAACTGCCCCTCCCCGCCCCCTCCTTTCCTCCTCAAGTGTCACTAGCCCCCTCACGCTGTCACATTGCACTAGCTAGCTCCTCGGGGTTGAGCCTAGTGGCACGTGCCTGGGAGCAGCAGGGAGCTGCGGGGAGGTGCAGGGGGTGGGGTGAGTCAGCAGAGGATCTGGTACTGAGTCAGCCAGGGGCTGGCTAAGGGGAGAGGACCCTTCTCCATGCAGAAGGTGAATGGAAATCATGAGTGAAAAGGGGCCCTGGCCCTGTGGCACAACAGGGATGGAACCCAGGTGTCTTTCACCTGAACAGTGCCCAAGGGAGAGCATCAACTCTTCCTCTGTTACCCCCCCCCCCCCGTGGCCAGAGATTAACTTCCCTCCAAGGCCTAGAGATAGCATTTGCCCAGGGGGAGAACAGGTCCTTTCTGTATCAGATTGAAAGTAGGCAAGTGGGTATCCAGGCTGTTTGAGAAGCCATTCAGAGGCCCCTTCAGGAGGCAGGATTGCACCCCCTTCCCATTCCTGGGCTGCTCAGTTCAATCCTGGCCTGGCCAGAGGAAAGCTGAAGGCAGTTTCTCCTTGCCCTATGGGTTCATGGGTATTGACTATGGCTATTGCCCAGTGGGCTGAGCTGGTTCTGATGGATGCCCATGTACCTGGCTCAGTGAGGTCCCCTCAGTCTGGGTCCTAGCCCCAGGAGGTAGGAGGGAAGACAAAAATAGGACTTTGGGCCATGCATTGAGGTCTGGGCTTGCTCTAGAGTGTAGATGTTCCACCCTGGTGGTATCCAGTGTGGCTATGACAAGGAGGCCAGCTGACAAATGTCAGACATTAGTTGTAAGAATGAACAGGCCTGTGGTCAAGGACTGGTGGGGACCCCTGAGGTCAGGCCCTGAGAGGGACAGGGGAGGGTGTCCCTGTTCATTTTCCAAGGGCACAGGTGCTCACAGTTAATGGCATCTGTTGTAACACTCAGATAAGAAAACAACCTCTTCCCAGAATCGCCCCACCCTGCCAGCCCCATTTGGGATTTGGGAGCTGAAGGTGCAGTGAATGGCTGCCCACAAGCCCTGCCTCCAGCAAGAGTCAATGGAAGCAGGGCAGGTCCCTGAGTGTGCTCTCTCTAGCTCTTCCTAAAGATAACCTAATGGTGTGGGGTTACCAAAAGGGCAGGTGCATTTTTGTACTGGGAACTTCTGCTCCAGCCCTGAGGGTGGGGGCAAGGAAGGCCACATCTGTGTGGGAGTGGAGAAGGGGAAATGACATCATCTTCCAATGGTTCTGGCATCAGGGCCAGCAGATAGGGTAGCAACTCCTGTTGCACGACAGGGTCGTTTTATGGGGCCACAGAAGGCTCCCAGGGGACCCCCCCCCACCCCATTTCCAGTCCCCTGCTGTATTTTCCTAAACTGAGAACAGAGGCCAGCCTAAGGCAGGAAATTCCAGGTTAGGGTTCTTTGATAGGCATAAGAAGGAGAAAAATAAATAAACCACATACATCCAGGAAAGAAAATGATGGTGAACTCCCGCAAGCAACCCGTCTGATAGGGCTGGGGTCCCAGATAGGAAGTGCCAGACTGAGACTCAGAAAAGGGTGAACCAAGTTCAGAGCAGGGAGAGAGAGCACCTGAGAAGCTGCAGTCTCCCTCCACACTCCAGTGTTTGAGCAGCTGAGCAAACTTCTCCATGCAGCCACCTGGCCCCATAGGCAGGAGGTGAGGCTTTCGCTGCCATTCTGGAGGTAGCCATCCCCAGAGAGCTTTGAGGCAGTGCAGGGGTGTTAGCAACACTCTATGCTCAAGGCAGGCCTGAGGTGTGGCCTGGAAGCCTGTGTAGGGTGCCCGCCACATCAAGGAGGGCTTGGATCTAGCTCTGCTGGAGCCAGATGCACAAGAGTAAAGGTTTTTGGGTGAAAAGCCAAGTCTCCAGGAAAGGAAAATGGGCTCCAAGTGGAGGGCTATTAGTTGCACACTAAGAAAGGCAGAGAGGAGACCAGAACCCAGTTTCTTCTCTCTTGGTCCATACTCCTTTGCCGTCAAAGACTACCTGGCACTATAGGAAGGGTGGGCAGAAGCCAGCTTAGAGAAAGACTTGGGTTCGAAGTGGGCTCTTGTCCTGATGGTCTCTTCTTCTTGCCTTTATCAGGATGAGAAGGGGCTGCAGTATCCAAGGAAGCCACAGGCTCCCACGGTCTCTGTTATTAGGGTTCTTTTCTTCTAGGGAATGGGACCATGTTCCAGAGAAGAGTGTGAATCTCCTTGCTAAAATGTCTGAGTTAGATGGTGGCATCAGAGACGGCTCTCCTGGGTGTCTGCTTTGTCCATGGGTAGTTCTTGTGGACACAACTCCTTGGAGGCCTCACAGGCCCTCTCAGGCTTGTCCTCTGTTTCAGAGGGGAAGCAGGCCTTGAAGCAGGCCCTCACTGATTCCTTTACTTCACTCTCCAGGCCCTTCATCCTGGCCTCAAACTCTGCCAGTGCCTTCTCCTGGAACTGTAGAAACAGCAGGGGGCCATTACCTGAGTCAGAAAGGGGCCCTACCTACCCACCTCCAACCCTGGACTACAGAATACTAAGATGCCTAGTCTAGTCAGAGCTCCCAAGAGACTGGGGTGGGTGGGAGTACTGGAGAACCGGTCATCAGAGAACCTCCCAGGAGAAAGATGAAGTAAAGAAATCTGCAGCGATGTCTCACTTGAAAGGGCCTTGGGACTCCATGGGAACCTGTGACACACTGGTGAGATGTGCTGGCCCCCTTCCCTGACCTCTTGCCCAGAGCTCCTGGGGTTGGGCCCCTTCCCACCCTAGAGATCATTTGGCTCCACTGGGGCCAAGTCAGACATCTTCTCACCTGCTTTTCCAACTCCCGGATCTGCTCCAGGCAGGCTGTCTGCTTCCCTTCCAGTTTCTCCTGGTGCCGCTCCAGGGTCTCTGTCATCTGGGTAAGGGTGAGAAGCGGAGGATCAGGATGGTACAGGCAAGGTTGAACTCCAGCTCTAAACTCAGCCAGCCAGCAGTGAGACTTGGGACAAATTCCTTAACCTCTGGGCAGTTTTTTCCCCCCACTTTGTAAAATGAGGTAATAGTACATGGCTCGAGGGAGTGTGAAGGATTACACTTGGCATACACAGTGCCTGCCAAAGTCAGGCCACAGGCCATGCAAGGCCTGTTCCTGTGGTCAGCAAAGCTTTAGGTCCATTCTCGACAGGGCTTTCCTTCCTCTTTCCATTCCCACCACCTCAGGAAGCCTTCCTGTCCTATCCCATCCCATTCTTGCATGACTGGATAACTCATGTTTCCCAGATACTTCCCTTCAGACCGGCATCCCAGCCTCTACACCTAGGCCAGGACCTCAGAGTACTTCCTCCCATTCCTAGACGCTTCTGGACAGAGTGCTGTAAGGGCTCAAAGGAAGGACACCCACATTCCCACCCAGCCCTGCATACCTGCTTGACAGCCTGTACCACTTCCTGGATGTGGGAGTTGTTAATCTCTCTCTTGAGCCTGTTGATATAATTGGGATTTTATAAAGGGGCACGCCTGGGGACCAGAGCCCTATGGGTTCGGCAAATAAGAACTCCATCACTGAAGCAGCAATCGGCAGAGACTCTAACTTGGAAGGAAGATGGAGAAGGAGCCATGGGAGCCTACTTTCTCACTAAAACACACTGACTTAAAGGCATCCAGGTGGGCACAGGTGGGGAGTGCAGCCGTCTAAGTGGCCAGCCTCCTATCCCTGGGCTCCACCTCCCTCTCTTTGTGCATGGTTCCCACACCCACCCAACCCATTGCTCCTCTCTGCTTAAGCAGTGTTGGCATCTGTGTTTTGCTCATGGGAGACTCTGGGAGATATAGCAGTGGGACCAACTCGTTAAGGGCCAGGAGAGAGGCAGATCTGTGGGAAGCAAGTTAGGATCCCTTGTCAGGAAATCCTCTTCTGGCTGGAGTCGGATCTGCTCAGCGGGGCCTCCCCTTCAGGGTTTACCTCTCCTGGGCCACCTTGTCTGTGGTGACTTTGGTCATGGCCTGGATCCGTTCCAGCCTCTTTGCCTCCAGTTTTTTCTTTATCTCTTTGGTGTCACTGCAGGGAGACAGGGAGAAGGCGATAGTCCGTAAGCTGCCGCCTTTGTCAGGAGGTAGGAACAGGCAAGTAAGGCAGGGGAATCTCACATTTCTGAGGTCTCCTTGAAGGTTTTGAGTTCAGCAGCCTGTTTCTCTCTGGCCAGCTCCATCATCTTGGCAATTTGCTGTGAAGGAAGAGGGACCGGCTTAGCGAGAAGCCATTGGCTGCACAGAAGGGGTGGGGTGGTGGCTGCTGCCGCCATGTCCCACACCTCGGTCACATGCTGTTCCTTGCACTTGAGGATAGAGCGGTACTGCTCCTCGCCCTGCTGTTGCAGCTCCTGCTCCAACCTGTCCTTCAGCTCCCACACGCGTGGGTCTGCACCCTGTGGAAGCTCGCTAGGCGCCACCACCGCAGCCTCCTCACAGGGCAGGGTCCTGCGAAGCCATGTGGGAACAGGACCTGAGCCAGGCGCCAATACTTTGGGGGAGGGCAGGACACCTTTGAATCCTTTACCTCTTCTTGCGGGAGCCCTTCCCCGGGCGGAGCTTACAGCCAGCTGCTGGAGCCCCAAGTTCTGCCAGCTGTGTCATGCCACGCTGCAGCAGCTCCTCCCAGCGCCTTGCTCCACGCCGCTCCAGCTCTCGAAGCTCCTTCTCATGTCTCCGCTGCAACTTCACCACACCCTTCAGCTCCTGCAGCTCTTCCAAGCTGGCAGTCTGTGGTTCTGAAGGGGCAAGGCTAAGGCATCAAGCTGCCCTTAGCATCCTCCCTGCCCTGCTGACATCCCCATACACACCCCAGTTCGAGGCCCTCCCCCCCCCCAGATCCTGCCTCAAGATCACAGGGCTCAGCAGGCCTTACCTGCCACTTCTTTCGGAGCTTCCTCCTTGGCCTTGGCCCCAGGTGCTGTAAGAGCACAGGACCGGACAGTCAGGTGCCTTGGAGGCACCTCAGTTTGGATCCTGCAGGGTTGCAGTTTGAGCTCTCCGCAACGCTACCCCTTTCTAGTGCTGAGGCTTCAGACCCAGATCCTCCCTCCCCAGATGAAAATGTTAGTCTTTGGGGGGCTATGACTATGGTGAGAGAGGTGAAGAGCTGTATACAAGGCAGCGGGCTCAAAACTACCTACCTGTTGACCCATTGCCTGCTGACACTGATGCCCCATTGGACTGGCCGGCAACAGGAATCCCCGACTGGAAGGGCTTCTGTGTGAGGATAGCCTGTTAGAGAGGTGGCTCTAATACCCCTTTCCCTGAGCAGGGGACTCTGCCCCTCCCCTCCCGGCTCATTCCACAGCTCCTGGAAGATTTGAGCAGTTGTCTGGGTAACACAGACCTCAGGCAGGCTTCCTGTTGCCTCCTTGAACTTCATAGACTTCTTGTCATGGGCACTGAAGTACTTGATGGGGTTAGCAAGAGCCACAGTAAGATCTGGGAAGCACAGGACACGACCAGCCTGGTATGTATGAAACTGGGCCTGGAAGACTCCACCTACCACCCTTTCTTGCTCCACTTGAGATTCTGGTTTAATGAAGGGAAAGGGGATGGATGGTCTGGGTCCCCTGGCACGCCACACACACACACACCCAGGTCTCCTACCTGCCCACGTGTCAGGTACATAGTCCTTCATCTCCAGGAAGACAAAGAGGGCAGGCATGGTAAGAGGCATGTTGCTCTCACTGCGCAGGCACAAGTGGTGGTAGCCTGTTGAGCATGATGCAGTGCGTGGTGATGGTAAGCCAGAGCCCGTTCCTGCCCACGACTACACAAACAGCATTTAGGATGTCTGGCTTAGGGTAAAAGGCCAGAGTCTTATGTGCAATGTTATGCGTCCCCATTGTGTGACTTTGGGCAGGTTAGGCTACCTCTCCCAGTCTCTCTCCTCGTCCATCAGCCTCATGTGCTCATTAGGAGAATTCATTTTAAGCTCCTCGCACATTTATATTACATGATTACGTATTTACTTTGTGTGTGCATGCAGAGGTCAGAGGACGGCTTGTGGGAACAGGCTCTCTCCTTTCACCATATGAGGCCCGCCCAGGGTCAAACTCAGATCATTAGGCTTGGCAGCGAGTGTCTCTACCCACTGAGCCACTTCCTCAGCTCCTCTCACACATTCTAAGTGCCCATGGATGTCAGCTGCTCAGGAATCTGTAACAGGGACTCCAGAAAAGCATGGACGTTCTGTGAGGTGGGCAGAGTTCCCACAGGTCAAGGAGAAAGTCTATCCCTGCCCCAGTCCTTAGATAAGCTTGTGACGTGAGACTGGTGAGGCCTCAAAGACCCTGCCTGAAGTGGCCCCCACCTCTAGACAGGATGCTGGTCTCTATCTCAGAGTCTCAGCATGTAGGTAAGAGGTCTATTCTTTACCAGAGTGTAAGGCATTGATGGGGATGATTCGCTGTCCAAGAAATTTGCTGCCTTCTTCCATCACAGCTATCCTGAGGGAAGCCAGCTCAGGCATCAAGATCTTTAGGACAGGAGAGAATGAGGAGTGGACATGGGGGGAGCCCAGCTGCCCCTCTCCCATCTCCAGATGTCTCGGTGACAGAGTGAGAACTTGGCAGGCATCACCAGATTTGATGAGGATAGGCAGAAGCCGTACCCTCCACATACAGGCATCTTACAGTTTGTGCCAGAGAACTTGGCAGGCATCACCAGATTTGGTGAGGATAGGCAGAAGCCATACCCTCCACATACAGGCATCTTACAGTTTGTGACAGGCTCACATGGGGGAAAGGGTTACATGTGTAGCCCAGGATAGCCCTTGGCACTTTGCCAACCAAGGAGACAAAAGAGCCCCATCATCCCCTTACAGAAATTCATGTTTCCACCCCCTAATCCTATTGTGTACAAGCTCTCCTGGCAACACACACACACACACCTCTAACGAACTTGCATTGGGAAAGTCAGAAAGTCATAAATGAGGGACAGAGAGAGGAAATGGCAGGTCAAGAAGCCCCTCTCCCATAGTTTCCTCTTCTCTGTAAGCAAAGGCCAAGAACAGACCCCAATGCCAGCCCCATCCCTAGCACCTTCTCAAAGACAAAGGGTTCCTCTTTCCAGACAGGATTGATTGAGTTAGTAGTAGGTGACAGCTTGGTACGATAGCGCCTCTTGGGGTCCCCTGGGAGGCCAAACATTTCCACTTCCACATAGGTGCGAACACTGCGCTCTGACAGGAACTGCCCAGAGATTACCTAAGGGTGAGGGCCCAGGGGAGACCAGCATTAGATACCCCACTTAGGCTGGTTCCTAAGCCCCTAGGGCCTTTGTCTCCATAAGGCTAAATATCTATCTATCATGGGAATTAAGGAAATCCCCTTTCAGCACTGGCCATCAAATAGAGGCTATGTGGCTCAAGATTTGAAGCCAAACTCTAAGGTCCTGGCTGCTTCCAGCACTCAGGGAAGAGGTGGGCCACCCACATTTCTCTTCAGACAAGAAGGGAGCAGCAAACATTTCCCCCCTGGTGTGGAGCCTGGGCTCCTGCTGCCCAACATGGCCCAGTCCCTCTCCCCTCCCCCACTGGAACCTCAGCCCTTCCCCTTGGTTTCCATGGGGACCAAGAGGCAGACTCCAGTGCTGAGGAGGAGGCAGTTTCCAAGGCAACTTGCTCCAGCATGAAGTGGCTGGGGCTGAAGTCTTCAGGATATCAGGGAAGGGGGTTGGGGTAGAGGGGTGGGCTTCTCTGCCTTCCTTCTCAAGAGCCCAGCCCTCCCAACCACTTGTCAGCCCTAGGCCTTGCCGTAACGGAAAGGGTGGTGGCTACCACCACATCAATGCGGTCCACGGAAAAGGGGTTGAACTGCTTGTCCAGCCTGCGCATGAACTCATGTTTTAGGAGGTATCCACTCTGCCCGTTGAACTCAAACAATGCCATGTTCTGCTGCATTGGCAAGTCTGAGGGATGAGAGCACACAGTGAGAGCATGCAGTGAGGACCCCCGAGCCTGAATCCATTCTCAATTTCCTTTCAATACTTTCAAGCCTTTCGAGTGAGGAGATTTGGGTAGATCAGGAGGGTGAGGGTTTCTCACGTCCCAGCCCATGTCCTTGGGATACCTAGCCTCTCAGAAGGGTCCTCAGCCTAGAGTCAGCAAGGAGCAATATGACTGGACTGCAAACTCCAGTGGATCTGGGATAATTGGCACAGGTGTTTCCAAAAACACAGCCAGAACCCATGCCAGCCTTGGTCTCTTATGTATGTTCCAAATTATGAATAGGCGTGAGGGAATGTTCCCCTCTCCAAAGTGCTCACATACCAGGACATGGTCCCAGAGCCTACCATGTCCAGTATATATCAAAGATCCCCCAGGAAGGAGTAAAGATGGGCTAGACAGGGCCCAGGAGAGGGTTCTTGGGGTCTAAGAGTGTTCTTACCCATTGTCTGGAAATTAAGGGCAACCATCTGGCATCCAGCATTCCAGAACATCTGGGGCATGTAGTTAGAAGAATCCATGCGTGTGCCCTTGGGGTACACTCGGCTCATCTGGCGTTTATTGTAGCTGTTGCTGAGTATAGGACCTGGACAAGGCCACTTGTGCCAGCAGGACCCCAGGCCCTACCCCCCCAAGTCCCATCCCACTAGGGACATTGGCTGGCGAAGCCTCAAGGATACTCCACAAACTGCATCGAGGCCTTGGAGAGCAGCTCATTGGCCTTGAGCTCCGTGAAGGAAGAGATGACATAACTTCTGTTCTTCTCTATGCAAGGGAGAAAGGGAGGGGAAGTCCACATCAGGCTGTCCTCCCTCTCAGTCCTGTCCATCTTTTGTGGTACCTTCCTCCATACAGCAATGCTTCCAACCCTGGATTCTGCTGTGGTCTGGTGGTTCAGCAGCCAGATTGGAGAGGAATGTGTGGGGATAATGTGCTGAGGTAAAGGGACTTAACAGTGGAAATGCAACGGGAGGGAGCCTGAACCAATGCCCTAAAGAGTGAGGGATACATGCCATGATGGGCATGGAGGGTGTGGCAGACAAATGAAGCTGAGTCTAGGGTATCAGGAACATGTAGTACACACACCTAGTGAAGGAATAGCTGGAAAACACAAAGCTCATGTGTTATTATTGGTTGTTCCTGAGTATAGGTGATGACCAAGGCCATTTTCACTGGAAGGACCCCAGGCCTTCCTGCAAGCCCCCAGCGAGGGGGAGTGAAATGTACGAGCAATTGGCAAGGGCACAGAGGGACAGTGGTATGTCAAGGGCAATACCCCATCCCTCCAGAGCACATTCTGGGTGTGCCCAGGTAGCAGAACAGTTTGTGAGGTCAGGCATGGGAGTTAGTGTCACAGAGATCCAACAGCACAGGAGTGTTCAGAAAGTGCTCGTGTTGGGGAGACACACGCAGGGTAGGGGATGCATTCGAGTATATCCTGAAAAGATCAGGGCAAATAGCAGGTAGAGGAAGAATCCAGTGGACTAAGAGAGCATCAGGAGATGTCTCTGCCTTCCACCCCCCTTGTGGGAACTCTCTCTCTCTCTCTCTCTCTCTCTCTCTCTCTCTCTCTCTCTCTCTCTCTGTGTGTGTGTGTGTGTGTGTGTGTAACTCTCTCTGTGTCTGGACAGGGTTTCTTTATGTAGATAAGAGTCCTGGCTGTTCTGAAACTCACTATGTAGTTTCTAATTCAGATATTCATCAGCCTCTGCCTCCCCAGTGCTGGAATTAAAGGAACTCTCCCAGGAACTCTTACCTCCAGGACTAAGGCTCCTAGACTTGGAGTAGTACTTGGTATAATTCAGGCCTGGGAGCTGCAAAACTTTAGGTAACTCCAGAAGCCCCGGACAGGTCTGACTGAGGTGGCCTGTCATAACGACCTGCCTGACACTGACACTCTCCAGCATATTCCGTTTGCTGCCAAGTTCTTCAGTCCAATGCTAGGAGCCATTGCCACTTAAGCAAGCCCTTTGCCTGACTCCTCAACTGGGTATTTATAGACAAGGACTTTAGCGCAAGGAGGGGGCTGGTCCCCCTTCCTTTCATCCCACTCTCCAGGCCACTCTTGAATTAGGGCAGCCTTCTGAACCCAGTCTGCCTTCTCTCCTCCACTCCCTGTACTAATGTACTTACGTGCGGAGAACTCGAAGGAGATAAACTTGGCGGGCTGGATATAATTGACAAGGCTGGACATTTCCTCATAAGCCGTCACCTCCAAGCCTGCTGTGCCCTAGAGATCAAGTGGGAGAGTGAAGGAACAGTACAGAGCCCACACAGAGGGTAGCTCAGTAGAGACAGCAGAGGGGCTGTCCCCACACACCTCATCCGACTGCATCTTCTTTATCTCTTCTTCATCCAGGCTTCCTGACTCCTCCTCTTCCTCTTCATCCACCACCTCCTCCTCCATCTCAGTCCGGTCCGCACCAGTCCACACTGCCACACAGCTTTGTCAGCGTTGGCTCTTTCCAAACCCCACCCCATTCCTGTCACTCATTCACCTGTGTCGTCCTCTATGGGGACACTAGAGGGGCAGCTGCCCTCAGCCTCCCCACCGGGCTTCTGTCCGCCAGGGCAGCCAGGGGATGCTGGCCCAGAAAACTGGTTCTTCTTATTCTTAATGAGGATCTTGCCCCGGAGGTCCTCAGGGCTGGGCAGGGGGATGCCAGGTTTCAGCTGTGGAAAGAGGAAAGGTGGGCACCATTGCTTCTTTGTGGTGTGTGCTTCCCACCCCCAAGCTGTGTCCCTCTGGTGGGGCCTATATGTCTGTTGCCCCCTTGCCTTGACTTCCTACTTGACCAAAATTGCCTATACCTTGGCAGTAATGTCTCTTTTACCAGTTCCTTCTGACTAGAATGAGCTTTTCCCATGCTCACTGAGTCTTTGTCATTTAAACCATCACATCCCTCCAGGAAGCCTTCCCTGATCCTTTAACTCCTAAGCACTGTTTCCCATAGCAACCACTGGCTGTATTTGGCCTGGATACTTGTCCATCTCCTCATGAAGAGGGGCAGAAACCTGGGGCAGCAACTGTGGAGTTTGGGTTTGGTTTGTTTGCTTGTTTGTTTGTTTTAGAGGGGGTTTCCACTATGTAGCCCTGATTGGCATGAAACTTGAGACCTTCCTGCCTCAGCCTCTCAAGTGGCATCACTAGTAGACCCCTAATTCTAGCATACTCTCTGTCTGACACATGGCAGGAGACAGGAGCCCAGACTTACAAACTAATCAAAGAAACTCAAGTATCTCTGCCCTCCTATCCCAAGGCTGCACTCACAGGAAATTTTTCCAGGGGATCTGTGAGCAGGGTGTCTCCAAACATGGTCCTGCAGTACTCGGCCATCTTAGCCTGTTGGCGGGGTCTGGTAGCAGGGAACAAAAGTAAAGGAGGGGTTAACTGCTTAGCACCAATCTCTTGCCCATCTTTTGTGTCCTGTCCTGATGGCCCAGATCAGAGGTCCAAGAAGTGGAGGAGGTAGGAACACAGGAAGGAGAAGCTGAGGCCCCAAGGAGGCTGTTTGGAGACCAGAGAGCTCAATGAGAGACTAGGGACTGGGGACAGTTCATGTGTGTAGGTGGGGTTCAGGCAAGAGGCTGGGCTGCAGGCAGAGAATTAGGCTAAATAGGCGGGGATACTCACGAGTCCACATGGTTTTCAAAGGACAAGATGACAGGATAGGGGGAGGTCTTAAAGGCACTCTCTGCAATGGCTTCGATTGCTTCCTACAGGAGAAAGGAACTATGTAAAGAGGGTGTCCCCTCTCCCTTGATGCCCCTCCCCACAGGGCTCCTCCCCTCGGCGGCGGCCCGTCCTGTGGTGCCTCTCCCTACTACTTAGTTTTATCATAGACCTGAAACTAGACAGCCCCTGTAGCCTCGAAGCAGCTTGAGGCCTTGCAGATAATTCAGCTTCATTTCACTAACTTCAGAAAGCTCCTCAGTCCTTTTCTGACGGCCACTGTGACCAGTCTCCATACCCCAAGACCCACCTTGAACAAGATATCTGTGGTCATGGTGAAGCCATGGGTGATAATGGGCTCCTCATCGGGGGGCTTCCCCTTCCAACAGTCCAGTTCTACACACCGGCAGCCAGACAGCAGCACCTGGCGGTACATCTCAGCCGAGGAAAGGCCTGAAAACTGGCCAGCTGAGCCAGTGGAGAGAACGAGCAAGGATGTCACACCCAAGCAGGCCAGTCCCCTCACTCACAACCTCACCGTCTGTCCTGTTAGCAGGGCAAGCCGTAGTTGAGAAGCATCTCTGGAGAATCCAGGGTCCGGGAGCAGCTGGGCATGGGTTTCCAGGACCCACCTGTCAGGTAGGTGTTGTGTGATGAGTTGATGAAGTAGTGATTCAGAGGCTGTGTCATGTCATGGTGGAGCAGCAGTGCATTGTGGGCCAGCACACTGTTCTCTGGCCCACAGAGAAACCAGACCATGCCCTCTGGTGACAGCTGTCCTGAAAGACAGTGGACGGCAAGCAGTCATGGCCGCAACTCAGCTCCCAGGGTGGGATGAGACTATGGGAGGTAGGGTTTCCTCAGTCCTCACCCCTCTGCACATTGATGCCGCTGGGCTCATACTTGTCGATGAGGGCCTGCACCTGCTCAGGCCGGGCTGGTGGGAACAGCAAGGAGTTGAGTCGAGAGTCTCGCTGCTTCTGATTGATGAATTTGGTCAGATGCTCCTTGGTCATGTAGGGTTTAGCTTTAGCGTGGCTGCAGGCCAGAGAAAGGGCACAGATGTAGTCTTTGGGCCAACAGGCTTGGGCTGCTCTCTTCTCTTGTTCAACCTTGTGATTCCCAAAAGGATGGGGTGGTGGAAGGGACTGCCTCCTTGCTGCCACTCCATGCCCACCCACAGAACTCACTAGGAAGTGAAGATCTCATCGATTTCTGGCCGAGGACAGAGACTCATGAGGAAGCTCTTATATACGGACTCTGGGAAATCCTCAGGGTTGATGGCATCATTCTGGAAGAACACTCACCTTGTTATCCTTCATCTCGCCCGCTCAGAGCTGAGACTCACCACAACCTATCCCCATGTCTGGGAAAGGTGGCCTGATCAGAGACAGTCCTCGGGAAAGACAGGCAGCAATCCCACGGCACGCACATCTCAAGTTGCTTGCCATATGGCAACAGCACCTGCTAGTTTGGCTTTCTTTAATGATTTTGGATAGTGGCTAGTTCCATAGCTGGGACAGGATTGAAACTAACATGAGCTTATGAAGAGTAAAATGCCGTAAGCCAGGGGCGCCACTTTCCTGCCCAAGACCTGGACTTCCACTTCTTTCTTTCTTTCTTTCTTTCTTTCTTTCTTTCTTCCTTCCTTCCTTCCTTCCTTCCTTCCTTTCTTTCTTTTTTCCTTCTTAAGTGAAGGACAAATTATCTAAAGAGACTGAATGTAGACAAATAATGCACCTAACAGTAGAACCCTGAAATATGAGAGGTAATATGACAGAATTGGATGGAAAAGTAAAACAATTCAATAGTAGCAGAGTATTTGCCTAATATGCACACACACACACACGCACACACACCAAACAAACCACAAATAATTGGGGGGAAAAAGAGAGAGACACACACAAAGGAATAAAAATCACACTCCATCAAAATTTAAAATATGCGTGCTTATAAGGGTACCATCAAGAAACTGAATGCTAGCCTGAGCTGAGGAAGGAAGGGAGGGAGGAAGGAAGACAGAGAAGGATAGATAATCCACAGAATGAGATAAAATATTTACAAATAAATTCTATTAAGTGATAATTCAACAACCAAAAGATAACCCGAAGGATGAGGAGATGACTTAGCTGTTCAAATACTGGCTGAGCATGCAAGAGGACCTGAATTCAGATCCCCAGTACCCACATAAATGCTGGTCTCAGTGCTGTGTGTGTGTGTGTGTGTGTGTGTGTGTGTGTGTGTGTGTGTGTGTGTAGCCCCAGGGCTGGGAGTGGGCAGATCCCTGAAGCTCACTAACAGCCAGCCAAACATGAGCTCCAGGGTCAGTGAATGCTCTTCAAAAAATAAGATGGGAGTTGGAGAACCGGCTCAGGGGTTAGGGGCCAGCATTGATTTTGCAGAAGATCTGAGTTTGATTCCAGGCATCCACATCAGACAGCTCACAGCTGCCTGAGATTACAGCTCTAGGGGGGATCCTGTGCTTTTCATTGTGTTCCTCCAGAAAACAAAACAAGCATTAAATGCCATTCAGGATCACACTGGGAAATCAGCTTGAGGTCTTAATTGGGAGGTGAGGGTCCCCCTCAGCCCAGATCTGCCTCTGAAGCTGATCAGTGGCTTCTACTGGAACACAAGGGAAGCAGACCAATCTGGAGGGCACAGCTAGGAATGTGGGGAGCTCAGGAGAGAAGGTGGGTGGGCGTTAGTAGAAGCTGGCTAGAGCCACCTCGGAGCCCCGCCCACCTTTGCCTCAGCCCGGCATCCAGTGTGCCTGGCTGCATGTGGGGCCAGTTGTGCTGTAGAAGCTGGGCCTACGACAGAGTATTCCTTGGGTGGCTCATAAGGACGGATGCTTAGAGTCTTGGGTTTGCTCATTTCTACTGCTCTAAAGTCTTAACCAGGAGAAATGTTTCACGGGGTGAGGGCTGTAATTACACAAGGTCACTGGCCAAGGTGAACAAGGGCTTGAGGACTAACACCACTCCCTGAGCCAGGCTTGAACCATGGCTATGAGCTGCATCTACCCAGAGAGCTCTTTTTTTGGTAAATCACATAAGACATCTCATGGGGTGACCCTGCCTCTGACTTGTAATTAAAAATTAATTGCTTAATTAAAAAGAAGTGGAAAATGTGTTTCCGAATTGAGCAGAAGTCTGTGCCCTGGCAGCTTCCACCCTTGGCCCTGCTCCTGTCCCCAACACCCTGCAGGACTGGTCCCTTCCTGGAACTGTCAGATCCCACAGGCTGCCTCCTGTCCCTGCTGACCCTATTTTACTCTCCCACAGTGAAGGCATCCCACTCCCGTTCCCAAGGCTAGGACAGGCAGGCTGGCCATGTGCTGCTGTCCTCCCCCATCACTGTGGCTAGCAATGTTGGACACAGGCCTTCCAGCTCTGAATCCAGCACTGTACCCCTTGCCCTGGTCCCCTTTATGCCTAGTGTCAGTAACCAGAGGTTCTGCTAATCGGCTTTGGGAGCTACTGACCTGACAGGTGATGATGTCCTTTCTACCCTCCCCATCCATTGCCAGGTTTTTTTTTTTTTTTTTTTTTTTTTTTTTTTTTTTGTGGTGTGAGTGAGAATTAGAGCTGACTAGGGATGGAGAACTACCAACCTTGCCTTTTGGGAGGTGACAAGCACTGAGGGCAGCTTCTACTCGTTTTCGATCAGCAGGAAACATCTGGAAAAAACTGAGGGAGCAAAAAAAAAAGTACAAGGCAGCAGAAGAGTCATAGGTAGGGAGGGAACTTGGGTAGCTGGGTGACAGTAGAGAGGGGTGGGGAAATGCAAGAGACTCACTTTTTCACTGGAATCTTCCCTTCGGGATTGAGCTGCATTTTAAGCTTCACCAGGCTGGAGGGATGAACAGTAGCCCATCATGCTGGGGGGCTGGCAAGCCAAACCCTTGAGCTCAGGCGCCGGTGGGGGGGCAGAGGGCAGAGGAGGGTACTTACATCTTGTCTAGGAAAGTACTTCGTGGAGCGTTGGCTGTCATCGGGTGTTTAGTGAGAGCCAGTACATCCTCAGCCCAGTCCTGAAGAACACAGAGCCTAGAAATCATGTTTCTGGCCACCAGTGCCCCTGAGCCCCTTGGCCCAGGCCTATGACTCTCACAGGAAGGCCAGGCTGCCCCAAGTGCCAACGCTCTACCCAGGCATTGCCAGTGCACCTTGCCCACGTTCTCCTTGTAAGAGACGAAGTTGTGGAAGGTGAGGTCCACCATGTCAGGGCCGGACACCACGGTGAGGGCTTTCATCAGGAAGTGGTTATCTGGAAAGTCCATGTTGAAGACCTCCCGGAGTTTCTGGCTCTGTTGGAAGCAGTGACATGCTCTCAGGCCCGCCCAACATGTCTTTTCCTATATCTCCTATATCAATCAGCCACTTGAACTGCAGGCCACTGGGGCAGAATAGCCATGGAACCTAGGAACCATCCCCCTGCCCTTGGCTCCAGCAACTGGCATGGAAAGGGAGGCCCATAGGAAGAGCTTGTCTAAGGCAGTGGAACCTGGGAATTCTGAGGATTCTGTTTGAAGAAAAATTCTTAGCTCCCTAACTCAGGTAATCCGACTTCAACTGTCAATCACTTCAGTCTTCTTACCAGCTTTAGGCAAATGTAGGCAAAGCAGTCACCAAGCAGTGGGGAGCAGGGGGTAGAAGAAACACTTCCCAGACAGCCTGGCATGCTTTGGGGCAGGGATTGGCTTTTCCTCCCACATCCCTGCCATCTTGGCTCCCTGTGCAGTCTCCATGCTCAGAATCCAGATGTGCCTAGCAGCAGCCACCGCATCACTCTGCCTTGGCCTGAGCTAGACTTCTTGCTGCCTAGCACCCCAGGACTCATCATCTGGTCCCAGAGATGGACTTCCTCAACCCCAGTAGAGACTTGTTCCTTGCCCTATGCAATTAGTGGCTGCTTCTGGGCCCACGTACCTTGGGCATCTTGGCAAACTTGCCAAAGCGAGTATCTCGGATGCTCGTGATATCCAGAAACTCCATCTCCTGGTAGCAGTTCCCAGTGGGAGCAAAAGGGTGGGGGCACAAAGGTCAAGTGGAGAATGAAGAACATAGAGTGGAGAGAGCTAACGCATTCCTTCAAATCCTAGCTGCTGCCTTCTTTGGATGCCAAGAATACTCAAGACTACCTGGACCCTTCCCTTTACGTTCTACTCATCTGTTTCTCTCCATTTATGGGATCCTCTTTTCCTTAGCCTACTCCTTCTCTAGAATAAGAGCTGCAGCCTACCTACACTTTGTCTTCCATCCTGGAATCCCCCGACCTCCTTGTGTCCCTCCGTCTGGCTGCTGAGCCTACCCTCTGAGTGCCAAGCTCTGATATGACTTGGTGCCACCAGTAGATCATTGTCCCTCAGCTCAGCAACTTGTCATTTCCCACTCTTTCCAAGAGATACGAACTCAGGACTGAGTAGGCCCCAGGCAGACATGAGTGAAGTGACTGCAGCTTCCTTCCCTTGCCCATGAGAGCCCCAGGAACTCCTCTCCCAGGCCATTCTCTACTCCCCTGCATCCAGGCCCCAATCCTGTACCACCAGGGGTCTAGCAGAATTCATTGGTTCAGTTGGAGCTGATGGCCATGTTGGATAGTGTCTTACCTTACTCTGATATGTCCAGTACAAGTAATAACCCTTGGGATCCACACGGAGGATGACTGGAGAAGCAATTGAAGTTTCCTACAAAGAGAAAGAGTCAGCTCTCTGCTCTGAGATTTCAGGTCAACTTCCCTGGCCCAGGCCAAGGATTCAGACAGAGTCCAATGTTTTTCCTAGAAATCAGAAGGCATTTCCCTTTGTTCTCTGAGCTAACAGGGGAAGGATTTGAGGACGGGAGATGGAATTGCTAGAGGAGAAGTGGTACACTTTCTGGACCCCAGCAATGCCTTTATCTCTCTGTGTTCTCGAGGGTAATGGCTTCACCAAGGGATAGAATCTCTCTAAGATTCCTTGCTACCATCCTGGACGGCCTGATCCAGTGGGAACTGAGAGTCTGAGCTCTGTACAGCCAAGGCTCTGTACAATACAGCAGAAGTCTCTGCATCCAACCATGAGCACTGCCTACCCCCCATCCAAATAATCCAAAGAGACACCAAGTACCTTCCCACCTCCAAAGTAAAGTACTCAAGTCTCCTCAGCCTGAACTGTCTCAACCCTTCAGAACAGGTTTTCCTGAAATGTGTTGTTATTAATATGGGGGTGTGGTCAGGAACTGTTCCCAGATACAGAAACACATTTGGAAAATCCCTATGAGCTCAAGGACCCCAGGGAAGTAAGCCTTGAAGTTGGAGTTTGCTAAATAAATACATGAATGAATACAAATTAGAGCTGGCCTTCTAAATTCCTATTCCACTCACAGAGTACATAGGCCACCTTTTATTTCAATAGTCTTTGCATACATAAACAAGATATTACAACCGAAGTTTCCAACAATACATGATTATTGCTGCTGACACACCAGACCAAATACGGGATCTGCCAAGAAAATAATAAAAGAAAGGTTCCCACATTAGCAGTCATTAGAGTATGGGGGGGTATTTTGTAAAATAGCTGATTTGGGGGAGAGCTGTGTAATGAACTGGGTCCTTTCCTTCCCAAGAAAAGGAGACCACTTACTCCCTGACCTTAAGACTATTTTGTGTGGGATAGAGCAGACCTGAGTCTCGCCCAGGAAACCAAGCAATTGCCAGGCGGGCCGCCTCTGAGTGCACAGTTGTGGCTGTATGGGATGAGCCTGTATCCTCAGAACTTGCTGGGACAGCAAACAGTGTGAGTATTCTCTGGACCCAAGTGGATGGGTGTGAGGGATGAGCGATGGGCCCAGCACTTCAGGAATAAGAAACTAGCAAGAGGGAGCTGAAAAAGTAATTGTGAGTGACCCCTAAATAGAAAAGCACTAGGGGATACCAAGCAAATGAGCCCCAAGACATGGAGGAGAGTCTCCCCCAAGAAATCATCAAAAAGATCACCAGAGGCAAAAGAAATTTTAAGGTCTGTCAGACTTAGAAATTCCAAGGCAGCAGTCGACTCAAGAATGAATTCCCACACCTCCCTGTGCCCCACTCAGAAGGACCTAGAAAAGAAAGAGCTAAGAATCCCACCATTGGCCCTTCTACTGAGCCTGCAGCTGCCTAAGAAGGAGGAGAGCAAAACACAATGGAGACGCAAGGCTGGAGTTTCACTTCTAATTTGTTTCTGAAACAAGAGTGGTTTGTTTGTTTGGTTGGTTAGTTGGTTTTGGTTTTCTCTGTAGCTTTGGAGCCTGGAACTGGCTCTGTAGACCAGGCTGGCCTCGAACTCACAGAGATCCACCTGCCTCTGCCTCCTGAGTGCTGGGATTAAAGGCGTGTGCCACCACCACCCGACTTAGCACTGGGTTTGTGGGGACTGTTGAACTACTGTCCAAGGGTTAGGGTCATGTCTGACAGCTTGCTGAGTTTCTTCCCACAGCTAGGAGAGGTCTTACCTCTAAGTGTGTTTTGAAGGCACTGTGGGAGACTAAATAGAGTCGGGTTTAGTTGTAGCCCTTGCAATACAGTTATCAATATAGTGGGATAGATCCCTGTCATCTACTAACTTGACTCAAAGAAACCTGAGAGCAGAACCCTGGCTCATATGTCATGTGTCCTGTGACCAGGCTTGGGACATTCCTGCTCATGCAAGCCAGGATCCAGGGATCACACAGTGCTCTGACTTGGGGAAGTGAATGGGTCAACCAGACACATAGTTTATAGAGAGCCCCATGACATGGCCCTACCCCTGGTGACCAACTGCCCACTCAGGTTACACACACTGCCCAGAGGAACTGAGAGCAGTCACTTCACTTTTCACTGTGAGTCATTCCCTTCCTCCCGTAGGCTCCCGAGGTGTCCCTTCATCATTCCACACCAACCAAGACACTTCTAGGGAGACAGAAAGCATCTCATCCTAGGGTCTCATCCCCTCAATTTGGGCAACCAGGTGCCTTAACCTAGCACAGCCCCAAAGAGTGGAAGACTCAGGTTCCCCTCATTGCACAGAGAAAACAGACAAGCCAATTCAGGGAGCTGAAGTAAGCCGTGTGCTGCTGGAAACCTCAAGCCTTCCTCAGGATAGGCTAGAGCTGTCTTCAGGAGGCCTGTCCTCCTGAAGGACAGTCCTCATTTTACTCTTCCTAGACCAAGGCATTCTGTGGTAGTGGCAGTGTTTTCGGGGCCCAGAAGGCCCAGAGACCGGCTAGGAAAGAGGAGACTGGGTGAGCTGGGATACAGTGCCTTCTTCCCCTTCCTTGCAGACAGGTTGGCAGGTAGTAGCAAGTAGAAGGCTGAGCTGAGCTGAGCCACCAAGGAGAAGCAGAAGTCAGCAGGTTCCTTCCCAGGCTCCAGATTTTCAACTGGGCCCACAGCCCTTTGGTGACTGCCCCCACAGCAATAGCTTGAGGGAAAACTCAGCTTCCCCAGAGAGGACACATCTTGTTCTATGGACTGGGGTGGTCGAACTGGTTATGGGCCTCCTGCCAGATAAAACTTGGGGTGTCTGTGCTGGGAAGAGGGCCTGGGCTGACACCTTTTGCTTGCTCTGTCTTAGCTGGGGTTATGCATTTCCCCTGCCAACACTGAAATTACTAGAAACGAACTTTTATCATCTTTAAGGATTTGAAGAAGGGTAAACAGCTCCAAAGAGATCACCTTTTCTGATACTGTCCCCCTCTTACACACACACACACACACACACACAGAGCCCACCTCCCCACTCCCAGACACACAGGCTTCCCTGCAGCAGCCAGGGACACCCACCTTCACCCCAGACTTGTTTATCTAGGCTGCTGTGCCAGCTGCCTGACCAAACCACATAGGCGCCTGGGAGCTGGGAGACATAAACCAATCTTCCACCCTCCACCCGCCCGCCACCGCTGGTTCTGCAAAGCACCCAGGCTACCGAGCACCTGCCACTCCCAGGGCCCATCCCTACTCACATCATCCCATTTGATGAAGCGCTCCCCTTGGCTCAGATATGCCTTCACATCAGGGGGCGACAGGACAGGGTTGAGCAGAGACATGATGTCAAGTGGCCCTCTTTGGGGAGGCTGGGCAAATACCAGCAGACAGGAGGAGAGAAGGAAGGAGGGTTAACAGGAGGGGAAGCTAGACTGAGCTCACATGGCACCCGCCCAGCACTGGTCCGGAAGTTGGGGTGTTCTTATAGCCTACGGGGTGGCAGTGGCTGGCTGCAGGAAGGAGCTTCAGGCAGGGGTCTGGTCCATCTGCCTTGTAAATCAGCCTCCTCCTTCCTCCGTCTGAAGTGGGGGGCTGCAATGGCTGTTTCTGCCTAGGGGGGCTGGGCTCCTCTCCTGAGAGTCCCTCCCCACCCTCTGCCTCAGCACTTCCTGTTCTGGGTTTCCTTCTCTGGGCTGTGAGGTCTAGGAGTCCTAAGGCCCAGGCCTCTGTTACAAGGATAGTCTGCTTAGATCTGACCCTAAGGCTGGAAGAGAGTGATGTGAGGTGTTGGGCAGTAGGTGATGCCATTACAGAGCCTTGGAAGGGGGACCCGTTGGGGTGGGGAGTGGCACAAAGAGCTCTCTGGGAAAAGGGTCCTCCCCAGAGCAGGGGTTCTGTCTTCAGAGGGTGGGTGCACTCTGGAGGTGGGAGCCAGTGATGGGCCGTGCTGAGCACCAGCTGGCACTGAGTGTTTTGAATAAGCAAAGTTGCTTGAGCAGCCAGCTCCTCTTTCTCAACGCTTCCTCCCAATGAAAATGAGGGTCAGGTGAAGCAATATGCCCCTCACCCATGGCACTTCTCTGGGCTTTTGAGCCTTTGAGTGAAGACCTAAAGCCTTCACTGTTCTACACGGCCTGGAGAAGCCCTTTGCTCCCAGCCTCCATTGAGTGCCCCGCTTCACACACAGGGACCCTGGGGGTCAGAGGTTCTGAAAGGCAGAGGCAGCCCTGCTAGACCCTGCTCAGGGTGTCCTGATCCTTACACTGTCCCTATCTATCCCAGAGGTTCAGGTCCAGCCCAGCTTGCCCCAGCCACTTCCTCTTACCTAACCCACTCTTATCGAATTTCTTAGCCCAGTTGTGGAGGCTAGAAGCTCTCTACCCATGGCTTCCTTCCCCTCTGAGGCCCTGGCTCAGAGATCCCAGCAGGCATCTTTGTTCCACCCCTGACAGCTGTGAGGCCTTCCCTGTGCCCTGGAATTACCTCTGCAGGTCAGAGCCAACAAGGGAGGATGGGGGTGGGCACAGGGAGAAAAGGTTAGGTGGACAAGTTTGCTAGTATTAGTGAGAATCAAAGGTACAACTATGGGGCTCCAGCACATGCCAGTTGTCCCGGCACTTAGAGGTAGAAGGAGGGGGCCCAGGACCTGAAGCCAGCCTGAGCTACAAGACAGCCTGTCCCCTCCATTCCCCCCCTCAATAGTGAACATGTCAGTGGAAGCTAGCTCATAAATGGTTCCCAGAAAAGCAATTCTAAGACCAGAAGGGCAGAGCCTAGAGCAAGGATCTAAATGAGCCACCATGAAACAGCTCCCAAACTCCTGCGGGCGACAGGCACGCCAACCTCTCTCTCAATGTCTCTTCTTGTCCTCTCCCTATAGCCTTGGATCTTCCTGGGGGCCTCCTGGACACCCCTGCATATCTGCCTGTCTCCCTAGGGTCAGGTTCCCTCTCTGTTTGAATGAATTTTGCAAGGGAAATCCCTGTCCCTTCCCAAAGCTCTACACCTGTCACCTGCAACAAATCTGGCCCCCCACATCCAAGTTCCTCCTTTCTGTCTTGCCCTCAGCCACAGGCCTAGAAGAGAGCCTAGGCAGGAGGAGGGGTGTTTCTGTTCCTCCTTCAAAGATTTCCAGACTCTGCTCCTTCAGTCTCAGGTCCTAAGCCCACAGAACAAAGGTTTTATATCCTTACCCATTGATGGCACCCCGTGGACAGGTCCTGGGATTCCCAACTGTCACCTCAATGAAGGCCTGTAGTCTTCTACCCAATCCTGATGCCTGCCCTAAGAATGGCAAGCCACTTGAAAGCCCTTTACTGAACAAGGGGTTTCCTCTTTTAAAAATACATGTAAGTTGCCCCAGCATGGTGGTGGCATATGCCTGTAGTCACAACTCTTTGGAAGAGTGAGGCTAGAGGATTGCTAAAGGTCTGTCTGGAGTTCTAGGCCAGCCTAGGGTGGAAAAAAAAAAAAAGCATTAAAGCTTTTAAAACTATTAAGTTGGCAAAAAATGTAAACAATAGAGTAGCTGTTGCAGAAGGAAGCCAGAATACATTTGGGGAATTGGCCTTGGAGGACTGACTCTTGGGCATTGCTGATTGGAAGGCACTGCTGCTGGCAGGAGGCCAATCTGGCCCCCTGGGTGGACTGCAGAAGGACGAGGATGCCCCCTGCTGGGTGTGCTGGAGAGCCTACCCTAGGGAAAGAGGTGGAGTCAGAGAATCAACCACTCCAGGAAGTCTCTGGTAGATCTGTGTCATTTGTGATACTGAGTTTGACATGTGGGAGCTGTGGGCTGCAGACAGGGAAGGAGCTTACACTCAACAGCAAAGGGCGGGGGTGGGGAGTGGGGTGGGGAGAAGGGGGGAGGGGCTAGTAGGTTCCCAACTTCCGCTAGGGACTTACAGGTTGACTGGATTTCCAGTCTGCTCACCAAAGGAGTTCAGGAGTGAACTTCTGAGCTGTACTCCTGTCTCCAGGCGCTGAGTTACCTGCCAAGTAGGTCATTTTCCTGCCTGATGCAGCAAGATTCAGGAACTGGGAGGCACTCCGTGTGCTGTGGGCCAATGGCTATCTTGCTCCTGAGATAGAGATGGTGAACCCTCTGGCATCTGTTTCCCACACACTACTCTATGAAGCCAGCCAATCACCAAGTAGGTTTATCTTGTGATACATCTTCTGTACCTCATCTTTCTCACCTGTAAGGTGGGAACAGTCCCACTTTATAGGGATATCCCCAGCCTGCTGGTGAAAGGGCTGGGTCCAGGAGAAAGCAACCACTCCAGAAGGCTGCTGCTAGATATGCCATCTGCAACTCCAAGTGAATCTGACACATGAGCACTGTGGGGGAAAGAGCTCGTGCTCAACAGCTGCCTCCCAACTTCCTGTGCTCACAGCCTGACCGGACACCCCTCGTGCCTCAGCTTCCTCAGTGCTGGAAGCGCAGACATGTACCACTGCGCCCAGCCTTCTTATTCCTCTCGTGCAGTTAGCCCCTGGATCCATGGGCTCCGCATCTGTGGAGTCAACCAGCCACAGATGGTAAAAAGTGGCATCTGCACTGAAAATGCAAGCATGTTTTCGTTGTCACTAGTTTCTAAATAATTCAGGATAACAACTATTTACATGGCATTTACATCGCATCAGGCATAAGTGATCTAGATATGGCTTAAGGATGTGGAAGGCGTGGTAGGCAATATGCAAAAACTATACCACCTTATGTAAGGGGTATCTTTGGATTCTGCTATATACAAGGGATCCAGGAGCTAACACCCCATGGACACCAAGGGACAATTTTATACATGCTGTTATTTCCATACATGTCTTCACTAACTCACACACACACACACACACACACACACACACACACACACACACTGCTGTTTGCATGAATCAGGTGCCAGACCCACCTTCCCAGAGCAAGCTGAATTAGATTAGAGATGCTCCAACCTGTACTCTTGAAATCTGCTATATACAAGCTGTCTGAACTCACACAGTTATGAGCACTGGGGCTCAAATCATTAACAACAGGCAGCCTTCCTTGAGCATCTAGCTCAGCCTCCACAACTGATGAGACAGACACAAGAATGAGGACCAAGGGCTATTGCTGTGTCCAGCTGTGCCTCAGCTGAGACCCCCCCCCCCAGCTGCCACTGCAGTGCTGAAGGCGGAGTCTGAGCAGAGGCAGGGACAAAGATGGAGCAGGTGCCAAGGTCTTCAGACAATCAAGAAGATTCAAGTGCCCTCTGAAGCTGGTATGGCTCATGCCAGTAATCCTAGAATTTAGAAGGCTAAGGCAGGAAGTTTGCCTCAAGTTTGTGGCCAGCTTGGGCTACAGAATTGAGGCTGTTTAAAAGAAGAGCATAGTGGTACACATCTATAACCTAACACTCAAGAGGCTGAAGCAGAAGGATCATAAGTTTGAAGGCAGCCTTGGCTACATAACAAGATTTTGCCTCAAAAATAAATAGGTGAATAAATAAAAGTTCTCTAAAGTTCTAGGAGTAAGTTGTTGCTCATCCTTCCTCCCCAACCCTCTGGAGTACAGGAGAACCATCTGGAACTTCAAAGTGGTAAAGAACAGTCTTGAATGTTTTGTTCTGTTTTGTTTTAGTTGATTTTGAGACAGGATGTCTCTGTGTAACCTTACCACAGCCCTAGAACTCACTATATAGATCAGGCTGGTCTTTAACTCACGGAGATCCACCTGCCTCTGGCTTCCCAGTGCCAGGATCGAAGAGGTAGACCATTACTCCTGACTGTATGTTTCCTTTTGAAGTGCCATTTTGGATTAAACTTACCTGGTCCATGCTCAAGAAGTCTAGGTGGTAATCTCAAGTGTAGCAAATATTCGCTGTGAGCTCTTAACAAAATGACTGAGCTTGGTGATGTAATAAGCTTGATCATGTACAGATTCCTCTAGTTCTAAAAAATCTCTTTCCATTCAGGAGGGCCAGCCTCGCCACCTGTGTCTCCTAGAGATGGTCACCTCAGGGATAAGAGCTGCATATGGCAGAGAAAACATGACACTTGACTCAGTGTTTATTTAGACATGATCACGTAGCTTTTCTGCCTCTGTTTTTACATCTGTGAAAAGGGCCAGTTTTCATACACACAATGAGAATAAATCAGCTGACATCTGTCTCTGAGTGGACATAGTGCATCACACATATGAAATGCCCTAGGTATGATTTATTGCTTCTGTCTTTACTCCTAATTTGCCCTCCCACCTCTGTGTGTGTGTGTGTGTGTGTGTGTGTGTGTGTGTGTGTGTGTGTGCAAAACCACAGCCTCTTGGTTCTGTGACTAGCAGGAAGCTTGTGATTATGGGAATATACTAAGAGAATCAGAACCAAACACATCTACCCTGAAGGAGAACAGCCCAAACCCACAATGTAAGATAAAAGGGTTTCATGGGGAGATCCAGGCTTGACTCCAAGACATCGGTTGTACAGGGGCAGGGTAGGGAAGTGTCGGCTTAGCAGAAGCATGTTCGAATAAAACAGGGATTTTGCTGACAGCCAGCTCCATCTGAGTCAAAAGACAGAGCTGCCAATAAAACTAAACACTCTTGAGTTGCCGGATGGAAGCTGAATCTGAGCCTAGTGATTCTC